CCTTTCTTATTAGCATTTTGTCCAACTCAGCCCAGGTAGACAGGTGATTAGAATTTGTTCTGATAAATACAAGAAAATGCTCTCTATAACAGTCAACTTTAGATATGCATAACAGATATATATGCAGCAAGACAACAGGTATATAAACCAAGCTCATATTCTGAGATTTAAAAATTTTTTACGTATTGATTTTTAGAGAGATGGAGCGATATCGATCCATTGTTCCACCCATTGATGCATTCATTGGTTGCTTCTTGTATGTGCCCTGACCAGAGATCGAACCCACAACCCTGGCGCATTGAGAAGGCACTCCAACCAACTGAACTACCATTTATCTTGTCCTTTAGCATGTAAAGAGTCAAGTCTGGAAGATTCTCATAGCATTTACTCCAGAGTATAAAGACAGTCCCTTTTCCAACCTTATGGCGGTTACTTGGTCAGAATAAAGAGGAAGAGGAGGTTTAAGTAAATTTTATCTCTTTTCAGCCGAAGAAATTTGGAGATGAAAAAAGGAAAATAAGAAAAACACTGTAGCCCTGGCCAGCGTGGTTCAGGTGGGCATCATAGCACACAAGAGACTGCTGGCTCCATTCCCAGCAGGGGGCGTGCAGAAGGCAAGCTGATCAATCATTCTCGCTCATCACTGATGTTTCTATCTCCCTCTCCCTTCCTCCCTGAAATCAAGAAAAATATACTAAAAATAAATCAATAAAATACGTATTTTTTAAAAGAAAGCATCTGTTAGGAATTATCTGTTACATCCCAGACTGCCACCGACTCCGGGAGCCGTCTGTTACCTCTTCCACTTCAATGCTAGACACACTTTGGCCAAAGAGATCGACTTACTATTTCACTGAATACAGGGATGTCCTTATGGTTTTACAAATTTAAAATTACTTTTTTTCTTCAATCACCTAATTAGCATAATTTTTCAAAGTTGTATACTAATTTGGGATTTGTAAAACCACACTTAGTTGTAAACATCCAAGAAGTTATAGTTAATTTAAGATCCTTCAGGAAACTCCTTTTCATACTTTCCATGAATTAAATAAAATAATTATTTTCTCTATATTTATGTACACGGGCTAACAAACAGAACTTGTATAATTTATATGCTTTTAAAGCCAAGGAGTCTCAACAAATAGAAATACATAAACTCAAATTTAAAAAACACACAAACCTTTTTTTACTTTATTCTCTATATAGAATTAAATGTACTTCACACAACTTCCATGAAAAGCATTATCAGCTTCTTTAGATGAACTAAATCCAAACTACAAAGAAATCTGAGTTTTAATTAAAATAAATTTCATCATTTCGCTAGCACTGCACACACAAAAATTAAATATAGGAATGTATTTAAACTAGCACCCATTTGTTCTGACCTTTAAGAATCACATACTTTTATCATTTGGATTCTAAGATGATGAAAGAGAAAAACATCAGACCTTTTTTTGTGAAGGCTCAAGAAACAAAACATTTCCTGATCAAATTAAAATAAAAAATAAAAACACTAAACCTTTCTTGCTGGGCAGCTGCCTATTATGTTTAACAGGCTTAAAACAAAATGTGTCAAAGATCAAGAGTAAGTTATCTGATATGTCAAATGCATAAGGTCAAAGGTACAATTTTATTAGGTCAGAGGTGGTATAAATAAAGTCTTGTATGTCAAAGAAGGGTCACAGACCAGATGTACAAAATATAAAGACATCACAGATGACAAGTAATAACTTTAAGTAGGACAAGTATGTTTACTATAGATACCTCCACTGATTAAAAATGAAACTTCCATGTGAGAAAGATAAAACTGCCTTTCTAGATCAGATAAGTCATGTGCTATATTGCACGCTTGTGTTCATGAAGAAGGGGCTATAACTAAAAATAACTGCAGTCAAAGAATCGCTTAATGGAGGTGACAGGTTCTGAGAAATGCATCGTGAGCCGACTTCACTGCTGTGCGAACTCACAGTGACTCACTCACACCTGGTGATGCAGCTGCCACACCGCTGGCCGCGGGGGACAGCCCCCTGCTCCCAGGCTGGTCTGTGCACACGTGACTGCACTGAATACTCTGGCAACTGCAGCACAATGGCAAGTCTGTGTATCTAAACACAGAAAAGGTGCAGTAAAAATACGGCAGGAAAGATAAAAATGGTGCTTCTTTCAGAGCACGTACCACGAGTGGAGCTTATACAGGACATGCTTATACTAGATTAATCTTTCAACTCCAAAAGCCGCACAAAATATACTGAACATCTCTTTGAGGGCAGTAAAAAACAGCCAACACAGCAAGCTTGAGAGATCATGATCCCTAAACAAGGGAGGCAGCACATGAGGGAGCTCCACATGCACTCTTGACTTTTCCTTGTGGGCCATGCCAACTTCTGGCACAGGATAACAGCGCAGCCCACAAGTAGCAGTCTTACCGAGCTGAGGAGACAGAATAGGGTTTGGAGAAGTCAAAGTGGTTGGAGCTTGAGAGGCAAAAGTCAGACAGAAGTGAGCCCAAACAACTGCAATTTTCCCTCCAAAATTGGTCATATCCAGATACTCAAGAGAAAACAGTAGCTTCATTCCTTCTACCTATTCATTAAGAACCAATGACAGAATTACCCCTGCTTCCTGGCCGCATCCAATTCAGGGCAAGCCATATGTCCTTGAACCATCCCCTCCTGCCCCAAATCACCCGGTACAGGCCCAAATCCTGTAAGTCCGTTCTAACACCTTATTGAGAAGCCCCATAACACCCCATGGCATTTCCCCCTTTTTTAACAAATCAATAAACCCAATTTTATTCAACTACACCTTTGTTTCTCATGGTCTTTGCCTGGAGGGCATTGACAGAAAGCTAAGAAAAAGAGTGAACTGTATATAACTTCACATCGACATTAGGGATCATCTCAAAGACTTCAGGTTGAGTGCAAGAAGCCAGACACAAAAAGTACATACTACACGATACCATCTATCACATCAAGGACCGGCAAGACTAACGGATGGTGCTAGTACTGACAGACTAGTTACCTTGTGGGGTGTGACTCGGACAGGACATGAGGAAACTTTCTGGGGTGCACGAAATTACCTAAAACTTGATATGAGTGGAACAAATATAAACATTCATTAACCTATACATTTGAGTTCTGTGTACTCTAATACATGCTTTCACTTCAAGAAAAGGGTTAAACATACATGTGCACCTACATCAATTATGGCCCTCAAAGAACCACAATAACATTAAGAGATGCAAGACAGCTCTAACTGGTGTGGCTCAGTGGATAGAGCGTTGGCCTGCGGACTCAAGGGTCCCGGGTTTGATTCTGGTCAAGGGCATGTACCCTGGTTGTGGGCACATCCCCAGTGGGGAATGTGCAGGAGGTAGCTGATCAATGTTTCTAACTCTCTATCCCTCTCCCTTACTCTCTGTAAAAATCAATAAAATATATTTTTAAAAAAAGAGAGATAGAGAGATGCAAGACAAACATGAACTTTTCATCTTTGGGAATTTGTTATAACAACAACAACTAAAAAAACCCCTAGAAATTCAAAGATTAGCAATGCCACCCATGTCTCAGTAATAGTAGGGAGAAATTATTTATTAAAATGCTTACATAAATCTAAATTCCAGGGCAATAATAATTATAGGTAAATAAATAATGCATTTTCCAAAATTTCTAAATCATATACTATCATTTAATTAGGATATTATTATATACTAGAAGCCTGTTGCACAAAGATTCCCACAATAGGCCTTCCTTCCCCTGGCTGCCGGCACCGGTTTTCCATTGGCACCTGGGACCCAGGCCTTTGGTCTGGCCGCAGCGGAGAAGCCAAGCCTCGAGGCTAGGCTTCTCCCGTCCGGCCGCAGTGAGGCTTGGCTTCTCCCATCTGGCCTCAGCGAGGCTTGGATTCCCTACTGTGGCTGCAGCAAAGAAGCCAAGCCAAGCCTCTTCAGTCTTCATTCCAGCCGGAGCCTTCAGTCTTTGCTCCATGCCTGCATATGCAAATTAACCGCCATCTTTGTTATGTTACTTTGCATACTCATCATGACTGGCTGGTGGGTGTAGCAGAGTGACACCAATTTGCATGTTTCTCTTTTATTAGTGTAGATACTATCATATAAATCGCACAGTTTTATACGAAAAAAAATTGTTTTGAGAGAGGAAGGAAGAGGGAGAGAGAGATAGAAACATCAATGATGAGAGAGAATCACTGATTGGCTGCCTCCTGCATGCTTTCCACTGGGGATCAAGCATGCAACCCAGGCATGAGCCCTTGACCAGAATCAAACCCTCGACACTCTATCCACTAAGCCAAACTGGCTAGGGCTGAAATTTTTTTTAAAATATATTTTATTGATTTTTTACAGAGAAGATTTTTTACAGAGAAGAAGGGAGAGGATAGAGAGTTAGAAACATCCGTCAGCTGCCTCCTGCACACCCCCTACTGGGGATGTGCCCGCAACCAAGGTACATGCCCTTGAATGGAATCGAACCTGGGACCCTTCAGTCCACAGGCCGACGCTCTAGCCACTTAGCCAAACTGGTCAGGGCATAGGGCTGAAATTTTTATTGTCAACTGTTTTCCAAGAAATGTAGAGCATCACTAATAATTCTTTTCTTATATTATCTATAATAATAAAAGCGTAATATGCAAATCAACTAAATGGCCGAACAGCTGAATGATAGTCCGGACGACCTTCCAGACAAAGCCAAGGCTGTGAGGGCTGAGGCAGCCGGGGCTGTGAGGGCCGAGCCCCTTGAATGAATTTTGTGCATCGGGCCTCTAGTTAAAATATAAAAACACCACAATTTTATACTAGAATTATATTAAAAACAGTATTAAATTCTTATTTTTATGTTTTGTGTTAATATGTACACTAAAATAACACATTTGTATACTATGACAGTAGTTATTAAGTGTTAATATAGTTTTAAATAATCACAGAACGACACAGAACATGGCCTTCGTAGTAGAAAGGTGTGTAAATGAAAAGTGGAGCTCACCACTTCCTCATCCGAGAGCTCTCTCCCTTGGATGCTGCTGCTCTCTCGCACGGCTTGCTGGTGCTTCCTTCCCTTAATGTGGCTGAACAGATACACCTCCGAAGAGATCTACAAGCACAAAATCAAGGCAATGTCATTAACCTAGACTTTCGTCTATTTTTAATGTTACACAGTCAACTCAGTAGACTATACGCGAGTTGAGATCACTCTAGCATTTACATACTAGGCTTACAAATGTTTTCTTTAGAATTCTCAGGACTCCTCTGGAATAGACATGGTCAAAAAAGGCATCCCATTACAGCCAACTTCAACAGGGCATCACTTCCCCTAGGTATCAAAGTTCAAGTTTCAGCACCCAAGACATCCCTTTTCTTTTTTCGTACCAACACCCAAACACAGTGCCGTGGAACACTACGCAGGTACCCTTCCACTCCGGCTGCTTCGGCACGCTGCACTCCTGCTCCCAAGTGCTCACCCTATGTTGTACTACTCACTTTGCGTAAAAACGAGGAAAGAAATTCATGGTATTCAGCAGATGCCTTTGTGTGAGTTTTAAAAAACAGGGAGAGTAGGGGGAGAAACCAAGATGGCGGCAGAGGTAAACACTGGAAATTGCTGCCTCGCACAACTACTTCAAAAATACAACTAAAAGACAAAATGGACATCATCCAGAACCACAGGAAGGCTGGCTGAGTGGAAAGTCCACAACTAGAAGGAAAGAGAAAAGCACACCGAGACGCAGAGGAGGTACGGAAGTAAAGTGCAGAGGTACGAAGGCGCACGTGGAAAGGGCTGGCAACTGAGGACACGGTTTTCTTTTACAATCGAGAGGGAGTCTCAAGCTCCCGACTGCTCTGAACTCCAGTTCCGGGCGAGTCTCTGGGGACTCATACGGGGAGAAACTGGACTGTCTGGCATCGGGCGGAACTCGAGGGTGGCTTTCTCTCGGAGGTGCTTGCAGTGATTACCGAGGAACACTGAGACCCGGGGCCTCTTAGGGCAGGGCTGAGGATCAGCCATAGCTGTTTGCTCCACCCTGTTGATCCTCTGAGACCCCGCCCCACCCAAGCTGCAGCAGAGGCTTTTGCATATGAATGGCATGGCCCTTTGCAATCTAAAATTACCTAACAAACTGCAGCTGGGCCAGACAGACCCAGAACATCCAAAAGAAGGCCCAAGTCCCCACAGCAGCTTGCATTGTTTCACAGCTGGGCCTCATCTGGGCACCTCCAAACCCCAAACAAAGAAGAGGAATATGCAGATCTCTCCGTAGCTCCTGCTGGGTGGCCTCAGGCAGAGGCTAAATTAGCACCTCCTTAGAGATCCAAGAGCCAGTGTACCCAGTGGTCAGAGTGGGACCATCCAGATTACAACTCCTTAGATTCACAAGGGACACACTCAGGGGGCAGACTCAGTGAGCACCAAAGCCCCACTGAAGCAAGTCTTGCCCCAGAAGGGTGTCTCCAGCACAGAAGTTCTCCCACTGCAGACACAGCTGATTCTCACAGCCAATTGGCCTGGAGGTCAATTCCTCCCAGTGATACCTACAACAATCAAGGCTTAACTACAAGACTGTGCACACAGCCCACAAGGGGGTGCACCAAGAGTGTCCACCTCAGGTAATTGGCGAGGCTGAGCCACTGGGCCCTATAGGACACCTAGCACACAAAGCCACTCTATCAACACAGGGAAGCATAAAAAATGCGGAGACAAAGAAACAGGACACAAATGACAGAAATGGAGGAAAGCAAACTACTGGATACAGAGTTCAAAACCACGGTTATAAGTTACTCAATAATCTTCTAGAAACCGCCGATAAATTTAGTGAGACCCTCCATAAATCTAGTGAGACCCTCGAGGATATGAAAAAGGACCAACTAGAAATTAAGCATACACTGACTGAAATAAAGAATATTATACAGAGATCCAACAACAGACTAGAGGATCCCAAGAATCAAGTCAAAGATTTGAAATACGAAGAAGCAAAAAACAGCCAACCGGAAAAACAAAAAGAAAAAAGAATCCAAAAATATGAAGATAGTGTAAGGAGCCTCTGGGACAATTTTAAGTGTACCAACATCCGAATTATAAGGGTGCCAGAAGAAGAGAGAGAGCAAGATATTGAAAACCTATTTCAAGAAATAATGACAGAAAACTTCCCCTACCTGGTGAAAGAAATAGACTTACAGGTCCAGGAAGCGCAGAGAACCCCAAACTAAAGGAATCCAAAGAGGACCACACCAAGACACATCATAATTAAAATGCCAAGAGCAAAAGACAAAGAGAGACTCTTAAAAGCAGCAAGAGAAAAACAGTCAGTTACCTACAAGGGAGTACCCATACGACTGTCAGCTGATTTCTCAACAGAAACTATGCAGGCCAGAAGGGAATGGCAAGAAATATTCAAAGTGATGAATAGCAAGAACCTACAACCAAGGTTACTTTACCCAGCAAAGCTATCATTCAGAATTGAAGGTCAGATAAAGAGCTTCACAGATAAGGAAAAGCTAAAGGAGTTCATCACCACCAAACCAGTATAATACGAAATGCTGAAAGGTATCCTTTAAGAAGAGGAAGAAGAAGAAAAAGGTAAAGATACAAATTATGAACAACAAATACATATCTATCAACAAGTGAATCTAAAAATCAAGTGAATAATCTGATGAACAGAATAAACTGGTGATTATAATAGAATCAGGGGCATAGAAAGGGAGGGCACTGACTATTCTCGGGGGGGAAAGGGGTGTGGGGGGTATGGGAAGAGACTGGAAAAAAATCGTACACCTATGGATGAGGACAGTGGGTGGGGGGCTAAAGGCAGAGGGTGGGGTGGGAATCGGGTGGAGGGGAGCTATGGGGGGAAAAAAGAGGAACAACTGTAATAATCTGCATAATAAATATTTAATTTTTTAAAAAAGTGAAGAAAAAAAACGAGGGAGAGTACATTTTCATACTTTAAACTCTAGTAATAAGGTATCTCTTCATAATATCGATAATGACAACCCACCAGGACATTGCACAGAGAACACTGCTTCTTTCTCTCATAAGGGGTCAGTTTGGGAGCATAGTCAGTATTTGCATGTCGTCCACTGCTCAACTCAGCAGCTTTTTCTTTTCTTTGTTCAATCTGTTCCATGTGCCTTCTAATGCTTTCATCATGCTGCAGATGAAGTCAGAGTGTGAGAATATAAAAAATTACTCAAATTATACTGATAACTTGAAAAAATATTTCTATTAAGCCTTCTAAAATAACAGCAGAATGTCATAATTCAATGTTAATGTGAACACTGAGAACAAGAATTTACATAAAGACCTTTAATATCTCCATGTACAGTTACATTTCCTAAATGTGCTCCATGGAGCTACATGGGATCTTAGTAAGTGCTTTGTGGAAGAGGTTCCATGGTCAAATAAACTGGGAAAATAGGAAGTGAAAGCTAAAAAGGTTTTTAAAATTGACTTTATGTAGCCTGTAGTATGTCACTGTCTGTGAGCTATGACTCAATAAACAACATTTGACACACTCATTACACACAGCACACCTCCGAGAAGCACTTCCTGGAACGCCCTGTGGGAAACGCTGACCCACAGGTAAGGACCAAGCTGATCGTCAGCACATCAGGCCTCTGTCCACATCAACTACACTGCTAACTGTCCTACACCTCCAGTGACTTCCCAGAGAACAAAACAAACAAGCTAAATTACACTACTTCCAACTTCTGACTCCCCCCTCACACTGTTTCATGAGGCTGAAATGGCATCCCATCTAACTATCCATTCTCCTACACATGTAACTCATTTTTCTTTTAAGATTCAGCTCAGGAATTACTCTCTAGGATTACTTCCCCTCACCCTTCGTATTGGACTGAGTACCCCCTCTGTACCTCAGCAGCACTCTGTGTAACCTTCGTCCACATGGAAGTTGTGTGCTCGGCATCTGAAGCTCACGTTAGAGTATGAGTTTCTTGAAATTCATGGTCACGTCTTACTCACCTCTATTCCCATGCCTACCACAGGCTCCGTAAGTATTTACTGCATTAAATGTAAATGAATGATAAAGTTCTAGGACTACACAAATAGCAAAGTGTGGTGTCCTACATACAGAATTTACCACCTCTGTGAGGAGCCAACATGTGAAGAGTTGTGGCAGAATGTGAAGTATTCGTACCGCCGGAAGCTGCACTACTGATGGTGAAGATTTTCTAGAAAATGTAAGTTTATCGTGTCTCCCAACTACAAACATGCAAGTCCTAAGCACTAAAATCAAGTGAAACTATCCTACCCTGTATAATAAAAGGCTAATATGCAAACTGTCCCCTCGACCAGGAGTTCAACCAGAGGGCAGGTCCGACCTGCCAACCGCCCGCAGCTCCTCCCAGGCAGCCCCGCCCCAGACAAGACTGCCCCACCCCGACAGGCTCTGATCAGGGTGGGCTGGCCGGACCCCACCCGTGCACGAATTCGTGCACCAGGCCTCTAGTTTATAATAATCACTGCTCAGTAAAAACAAGAAATGTTAAAATGTGGTTATTTTTTTTCCTCGATTGCTTAATAAAATTTAGTTTTCAGATAGTTGAACTGGCCAATATGATGGTAGCGAAATCATATTTCTCATTATCGAAAGATCAGACATACAAATTAATTCAATTTTCTATACAATTAATTCAACAAATAACAATGTAATCTCATGCTCCATGGCAGCTCCAAGCTTTCGCAGTCAGACAGACGCGTAACCCACCTTGAGCTGTATTTTCTTCTGCAGCTCCTCCATGGCCTCCTGCTGAGCAGCCGTGAGAGCCGCCAGTCGTTCTTCCCTGTCTCTGTGCGCACCCAGGGGAGGAACAAACCGCAGGTTAAACAATACAGTGAGGGCTCACAGGCTTCTACATTCTACACCAGCGGTCGCCATCCTTTCGGACCTCATGGACCACCTGTTGGCGACCACTGTTCTAAAGGGTTATTGTTTTTTAAAATTATTTTTCTAAGTGCCTGTTAAGTCCCAGACATACTGTTCATTAAGTACTTGGAAAGCAGCAGAAATTATTAGTTATGAAATAGGTTTCTGGACCCAGGCAGAGGTTTAAATATTAGCTCCAAGGCTGTCACTTAAATATGCCAGTAAAACCACAACAAACGAATAGAAAAGGCATGAACTCACACAGAGAATAGGAGGAAACGATCCCAAACAAATTATGAGACATACAAAAAAGCATGACCATGCTTGGGAAAAAGCAGTGAATCGAAACTCTCTGAATGAAGTCATATGTTGGAGTTAGCAGACAGAGACTGCAAAACAGCTATTATAAACATGTTCAGATAATTAAAAGTGTGCCAAAATAAAGAAAAATATTATGACAATGATTTAACAAACAGGGACTCTCAACAGAGAAAAGAAAGAGTTTAGAACAGCATTCCAATAAGAGGAACGAGGACCCTTGAACAAGCGGCTGATTCTGGGGGTGGCGCATGGAGAACATGATGCGTCTGGAGCGCCGTGTGCGTCGGAGAGGAAGGCTGCGCCGAGAAACCACTGAACGACGTCAGGGGACACAGGGGCCAAACGGAAGAGCTCCCAGTGTCAACGTGGAACAAGTGAGCAAGAAATGAGTAACAGAATACTAGCATGTAACTCAAAGTACAAAAAGACATAAAAAGTCCACACTGACATATGAATGAATGAATGAATGAATGAATGGGAGAGGACAGACTGCAAATAAGTTCTGCAGTGATTCTTCTCTCGACAGGTGTGGGCTCTGCTCAGTGGCTCACTTCCAAGGAGGACAGCAGAGGGGAAATTTTAAAGTTACTACACAAGGAAGAAACCTGACCCCATCCTCACCAGGTGACCAAGGTTCACAAACTCCGAGGTAAGTCCAGCGGACAGCATGAACCTCTGACATGTTAAGAATAGAAATTTAGCCCTGACTGGTTTTGCTCAGTGGATAGAGCATCGGCCTGTGGACGGAAGGGTCGTGGGTTCAATTCCAGTCAAGGGCATGTACCTTGGTTGCAGGCACATCCCCAGTAGGGGGTGTGCAGGAGGCAGCTGATCGATGTTTCTCTCTCATCGGTGTTTCTGACTCTCTATCTCTCTCCCTTCCTCTCTGTAAAAAATCAATAAAATATATTTTTTAAAAAAAGAATAGAAATGTACATTTAGCCCTGTGGTCCTACTGTCAGAAACCATAACCCTAATCTAACCATCAGAAACACATCAATTGAATCCTCACTGAGCAACAGTATAAAATACCTGACCACTCTCAAAACTGTCAGGCTCATCAAAGCCACGGGGAATCTGAGAAACTACTAAAACTCAGAGGAGCAAATAAATACCTGGAGAAATAACGGCCAAACACTTTCCAAATCTGATGAAAAACAATCATGAAGAGAACCAACCTAGACAAATCATAGTCACACAGAAACGTGAAAGGGCCAAGACCGTCCTAACAGCATTAGATACCAAAATTATTACAAAGCTTTGATAATTAAATCAGAGGATAAAGAAAGTAACCACCAGCTCAAAAGACAGAGCCCACAAACAGAGCCATGCATCCAAGGAAACTTGATTTATGTCAGAAAGCTCTCTAGATCAGTAGGAAAATTTTGATTTTTCAGTAACATGTACTAGAACAATAGGGTATTCACAATACAATCACAGAGAGTTGATTTTATTGTATGGTTTGAGATAGAAATACAATCTCTTTTTTAGTAGCTGCTAAGTATGCAAAAAGTTATTCAGCCTTGTTATTAGTCTTGGACAGTACATTTTCACATACACCAAATTTGACACAATTAAAAGGTCAGAAAAAAATTCACATGTCAGCAAGGTATATACCAACCAAAAGGGACTTAGGCTTGGCCAATTAAATGCTTTTCCTGGGTCTTTAAATCTTAAACAACTGATTTTAAAGTAAAGGGATGGCCGAAGGTCACTTATCACAATCAGAGTGACAGCACGCTGACCAGACTGTTGCTACCAAAAGGCCATGCTGTGGCTCCTGTGGCCTGGCCTCCGACCCCCGACCACCTCCAGGCCTGGTCCTCTCAGCTCCTACCACCTGTGCTCCCAACGTGCTCCTAAAAACCCCCTTCGCTGAATCAAGCCAGAATCAAACTCTATTTCTTGCAACCAAAACATTTTTGAAATACCATGCTTTCCATCCAACAGAAAGGTTAAAAAGGTTTTCACTTTAACATGATGCTATAAAGCCTGGAAACTGACATTTCTGTACTTGGACTGTTTCTAAAAACATCTACACGACAGCAAGTGCCTTTAAGACTTGATTTGAACATTGACCCACTGCAAAACGTTTGTCAGGACCAAACCACAACAGGTACCTCGCTCTTTCCCTGGCGGCGTCCTCACGGGCCTTCTCCTTCTCTTGCCTCTGTTGTTCAATCCGCGCTTCTTGTTCTCTCCTCTTCATTAACAGTTCCTCCACCCGGGCCTGCCGTTCGGCCTCGAGTGCTCTCTTTCGTTCCTAATGTCAGAAATGTTTTCAAAGATGTTAGATGTATGTGAAAAACGAAAATGACATAGCTTTGATATAAACGTATATATTAAAACCAGGGAGATCCCTGGCGTGTCAGTAAGTTTGCTTCACAGAATTGAAACAAAAATCAAACATCAGCGATATCTGGTTTTCATGTAATTTACCAGTGTTACACATAATGATCAGAATAAATGCTATGTTCAGCAGATACTATGTTATTCATATTCTACAAGAACCTAATAAGTATTTTATGGTTAATCACTTCTAAAGCCCTGTGTTTAGAAATGGTTCTAGAAATACCAAAACATCATGAAAGCAGTTAACAGATTGTATATGTGGATGTTCCATGTATCCATGGCTGTGGTTTTTAAGTAACGGGAATGCACTGCTTAGGACCTTGGTCAGAGGGAAACTTTCTACTCCATGAAAGCATCTTGCACAGGGGAGGGATTCCATAAACGTGTTAATAAATGAAGCATGACTTTATAAAGTAAATCTACATCCTTACAAATAAAGAACATAAACCTATGGCAAAGGAATTAGAAAGGTATCTCCTCACTCCTACGCCTTCTGAACCCTCTTGGACGCCACGGTACTTGGTTTCACAGTTACGCACATGTTACGGCAGCTTCAGAAAGAATCTGGCACCCCCCCCCCCCCCCCGCCATTTATGCCTGAGATGCGGCAGGTGCCCACAGATGCTGCCAAATAAAATCCTACCTGGACAGCTTCGTCACGCGCTTGCTTTTCCTCCTGTCTTCGCTGACGCTCTTCCTGTAACTCGTTAAGCCTCTGCTCATATTCCTTCAACTTCGATAAGACATCATGGCGTTTATTCTGGGCTTCAAGGGTATTTATGAAAGCAATTTCATTTACCTTTGTTTAAAAAAAGTGAATTTCAAATAAAGTTAATTCTAGGGTATGCCACAAAAATAAACTTAACCGTCTTTATAACATAAACCAGTGTAAAGGCATAAAACCAAAGTGCAATAGTCTATGAGTGTTTTCTTCAATATTTACCTCAAAAATGGATAATAATACAGTTATAAAATAAATCCACAGGCCTTAGTAAGAACTGATGTAAAATAAATAAAACTCTGCCACAGAAAGTATTTTAAGTCAATAAATAAATTAGGATTCTCATAGAGACCATCTTATAAAGTTCTACATAATATCCTTATAATCTGCAACCATACAAATTACATTAAGATTAAAACAGTTACATATATGTGTTCTAAGGAGTTTGGACAAACCTTAAATAACAAATCATTTTTCTTCGACTTATACTGAGTGAATGACAATTAGGTACAAGGTACTGAACTGTACGCACTGCACCCTCAACTTCATACCTACTGATTCTTAAGAGTCCAGCAAAACTTGACAGCAGTGTTTATGAGTAAAGCTGAAAAAAGTCAGTTGGGGTTGAACCTTTCTTTTTTTTTTTTAATCCTCACTCGAGGATATTTTTCCATTGATTTTTAGAGAGAGTAGAAGAGAGAGGGAAAGACAGAGAGAAACATCGATGTGAGAGACACACATCGATTGGTTGCGGGCCAGGACGGAGCCTGCAACTGAGGTACAGGCCCTTCAGTGGAAACGAACCCAGGATCCTTCAGTCCACAGGCAGGTGCTCTATCCACTGAGCAAAACCGGCTAGGACAAAGTTTTCATTCTTTAAAGCTAGAAAAATACAGTGAAGTGGTGGCGTGAAGTGGGAAAGTGAAGGCTGAGCTACGCTCTTTGACGGCAGCAAAGACTCCAGGAACCCGTCACTACAAATGCCCCTCAGACAGTCAGAACCAGCCCGCACACACACACGGCAGCTGCCTTTCAGCAAGGCCATTCAACATACAAAGGAAAGGATTTTCAACAACTGGTACTGGAACATTAGTTATCCATATGGTAACATTTCTTCTTAACCCTCGCCTTCACCATATACAAAAAACAACTCAAAATGGAATATAGACCTCATTGTAAAATTAAAAACTTCTAGAAAGAAATTTGAGAAAAAAATCTTAGTAACCTTAGGTTTAGGTAAAGATTTTTAAAATAGGATGTAAAACTCACCAAGTATAGAAGAAAAATGTCAACATTTTGAATTTTATCAATTTGTAAGACTTCAAAAGGTACTGTCACAAAAATGAAAAGGTGTGGCTCAGTGGTTAAGTATAGACCTATGAACCAGGAGGTCAAGGTTCGATTCCTGGTCATGGCATATGCCCGGGTTGAGGGCTCGATCCCTAGTGTGGGGCATGCAGGAGGTAGCTGATCAATGATTCTCTCTCATCATTGATATTTCCATCTCTCTCTCCCTCTCCTTTCCTCTCTCTCGCTCTTAAAACCAATAGAAACTTTTTTTTAAAGGCAATCTACAGACTGAGAGAAAATATATGCAAAACACAGATCCGGCTCTAGCTGGTTTCGCTCAGTGGATAGAGTGTCGGCCTGCGGACTGAAGGATCCCAGCTTTGATTCCAGTCAAGGGCACATGCCCAGGTTGCGGGCTTGATCCCCAGTAGAGGGGCATGTAGGAAGCAGCCGATCCATGATTCTCTCTCATCATTGATGTTTCTGTCTCTCTCTCCCTCTCTCTCATCAATACAAATATGTTTTAAAAAACACACAGATTGATTTCCAGTCAAGGGCACATACCTGGATGGCAGGTTCAATCCCTGGCCCTGGTTGGGGAGCATGCAGGAGGCACCAATCAATGTGTCTCTCTCACATTAGTCTTTCTCTCTCTCTCTCTCTCTCTCTCTCTCTCTCTCTCTCCCCCTCTCTCCCTCACTCCCTCACTCCCTCCTTATAGTCTCTCTTAAAATCAATGGGAAAAAACATTCTCAGGTGAAGATTAACAACAACAAAAGAAGTTAAACATGGACACATGAACCTATCATGATCCATTCTCAGGTATTTACCCAAGAAAATAAAAGCAAACATCTGCATGAATGAATATTGGTACATGAATATTCAATGCAGTTATATCTGAAAACAAAAGTCCATCAACAGCTGCTGAATTAACAAATTATGGTAATTCTATTCAGTGGTATATACTTCTCAGCAACGAAAAAGTAACTGATATACACAACAGCAGGGATAAAATCAAAATCACTATGCGGAGTGAAAGACACCAGAGGAGAGAGAGTACACACTGCATGATCCCATTCATATAAAATTCTAGAAAATGTTTACAGCTACAGTGACAAAAAGCAGGTCAGAAATTGCATGGGAACAGTTGGAGGAAGGAAGGAATTACAAGAAAGCATGAAGAAACTTTTGAGGGTGATGGAATTGTTTATAATCTTTATGATATGATAGTTGCAGGAATATATACATGTCAAAACTCATCAAACTGATGCTTTACATATGTGCTATCTATTGTCTGTCAATTAAACCTTAATAAAGCTGTAAAAAATATATATATACATCATAGGATTATTTTTTAAAAATATTTTTATTGATTTCAAAGAGGAAGGGAGAGGGAGAGAGAGATAGAAACATCAATGATGAGAGAATCATTGATTGGCTGCCTCCTGCACGCCCCCTACTGGGGATCGAGCCCGCAACCCAGGCATATGCCCTTGACCGGAATCAAACCCGTGACCCTTCAGTCTGCAGGCCAACACTTTATCCACTGAGCCAAGCTGGCTAGGGCTACATCATAGGATTATTATAAAGACAAGACACTGCACCTAACAAGCTTAAAATGAGCCTGTAAAATGCTGTTATTCTGGACAGAATAGACATTTGATAAACATTAGCTTTTTATATAACAATTGTTGAAAAGGACTTGGGTAACTAATTCAATGCTCAAAGCACCTAAGATTTATGTACTCACCTTAGCTTCTTCCTCTTGTGCTTTTTTAACAATGGCTTGTAATTGCACTTCTCGCTTAAACTCAGCATGAAGCAATTTCTCTTCCATCATCCTACGTCGTTGATCTAGCAATTCTTCCTTCCACTTCCGGACATCTTTTTCCTGCATACAGTGAAGTGCCACATCCTCACTTTCAGCACACAGTCATTTAACAGAAGTGCAAACTGATGAACAGTTTAGTACTTGTAAGTGAAAAGAGTTAATGGAGCAGACTACAGAGACAGCCCGCTCGAGTCATAATCTAACTCATTGGCTTGTTTTCAAGACTGAGTCAATACAGGTACAAATCTTAGAGCTGTGCATTAGACATGGCTCAATTGAAATACCTGCTGTCATTATACTGCACTACGAGTAAGCTTTCATTAAAATGAAAACAGTGTGTATTTTTTAGCCTCGTAAACCTAATGTCTCTAGTAACCAAATTCAAGACAATTAAGTAATTTTATCCTTGAGAATGGAAAATGGTGAGAAGTCTGAAAAATTACATTCATCTGCATAAGAAGGAAAAAGAGCCTCCAGAAGAACAAAAATAGACATAACAGTTTCCTTTAAATCCCTAGAACAGTATCAAAAAGTAAAAGACTCTGCTCTAGGAAATCTAATCCAGCACCAATGAGAATAAATTATAGAAAATCAGATGTTGGCTCAACATGAATGAGCTACATAACTATGTGTTTAAACACCTAAAAAAGTATGACACAGGAACAGCATGGATAGAATCCAGAGGACAGACCCTTAGAGCCCTAAGTAAGGTGGGGAGCCCAGAGCAGCACTGAGCCTCTCCTACACTGTGTTCACATCTGTAAAACGGGCTCAGTACCTGTTGAACTCTGTACCTCCCACAGTTACTATGGTGATCAGTGAGAGCATGTATGTAACAGTGTTGAAACAATAGCTTTTATGCAAATGCAAGGTGGGATTTATCAATAAAAATAATGGAAGGGATACCTACATTGATGGGAAAATTAAACCAGAGAACCTCTAATGTACAATTTCAAGAACTGATCTCCAAATAAGTGGAGGTTATATTATATATTGAGAAAAAGATTATAAAAAATAGTGCAACTTCCATTCTGGCAGCTTACTTGCTCTTTCTTCCTCTCTCTCTCAGATACTTTCCTGGGGGAAGCTGGCAGCCATGTCATGAAGAAAGTGAGGAACTGAGGTCTACAGCCAGCTGATAAGAGGACCTGAAGCTGCCATAACCACAGGGGAGTCTGGAAGTGGATCCGTCAGCTCCAGTGACTGCTGCCCCAGCCGACAGCGTGACTACACCTTGTGAGAGACTCTGAACAGAAGTCACCAGGCAAGCCACCCCCCTCCCATGACCACAGAGGCTGTGAGCTATAAATGTGTGTTGTAGGCTGCCAAGTTGTGAGGGCATTTGTTACATAGAAAATATAACTAACACAGTCCTCACCTACATCTGCCACATGCAGGTAACAACAAACTGAGCAACAGCCAACAGCTATCCTAGAAGCGTGCTACTGTTTTACACACTTGCCACATTTAATCACCACAACAGGTTAATAATTACAATTTCACTTTACAGATAAACAAACTGAAACCGGTATTGTTAAAGTAACTTGCTCCAGGCACCGTATCTTATGTAGCAAAACCAGGATTTGGCCTGGTTGGCCAACTAGGGTCCATGTTCCTTCCACTATGCCACACTGATCAGAAGTAACACTGCTCTAAATACTCTTAAGAATCTCGCCTATATAAAAAACTGTGGTACATCTACACAATGGAATACTACGCTGCGGTAAAAAAGGAACTCTTGCCTTTTGCAACAGCATGGATGGAACTGGAGAGCATTATGCTAAGTGAAATAAGCCAGTCAGAGAAAGATAAATACCACATGATTCCACTCATTTGTGGAATATAGAGAACAACACAGACTGATGAACAGGGTCAGATCCAAAGACAGAGAAACAGCAATCAGACTATTAATCCCCAGAGGGAAAGTAGGGGAGGGTGGGGGTAAGGGGAAGAGATCAACCAAAGGACTTGTATGCACGCATATAAGCCCAACCAATGGACACGGACAACAGGGGGATGAGAGTATGAGTGGGGGGCGGGGGGGAGGATGGGGGTTAATGGGGGGGGGGGGATGAGGACACATTTGTAATTCCTTAACTAATAAAGAATTTAAAGATAAAAAAGAATCTCGCCTATAATTCTCATTACTGCCCCACTTATTCAAACTTTATAATATGAGGCTCAAAACTGTCCTACCAAGTCTTCTACACTTTGCACAAGACTCCCCAAGGAAACCCTGCAACGAAAATGGCAAAAATAATCCATGCCAATGCTGCAAAACAAGAATTTACCAGCTAATTTAGGAATTAAAAGTTCTTTTTACAGGTAACCTTCTGTAATCCAACTGACATAAACACCTTGTTTCCTAGAATATTTCATTGTTTTTATAGTTCTTTTAGCTTCTCTCAGACCATAAGAAAAGTTCAATTTGAAAAGAAGCCCACCAATTTAAGGCTATCATAATTTCCTAAATATTAAAAACTCACCCTTTCTAACAATTTCTGAAGCTTTAATGTTTTCTCTTCACGTAACTTTTCCCTTAGCTGCTGTGCTTTCATCTGTTTTTCTTCATGTTTCTTCTTAGATTCTGCAATTGTTCTATTAATACAAGCAAATAAACAGGCGACACGAATGTTTACATGATAAAACCAAAAATATTTTCTTTTGTCTTCAAAGTTCTAAAAATAAATACAAAAGGTACACAAAAATAATTTCGGTCTAACTTTTCAGGAAAACACTGTACTTTTCAAAGAATCTGAACTGTCCTGAGTCATGTGCCTTAAAATGTTATTCGGCAACTCTGTTTAACAGTCGAGAGTGGCTAGTTTCCCTCCTGTGAAGTATTTTAAATTTTCTGAGGCCAGACCTTTTGCGAGATGGGGAGGAAAGTTTCTCATGCATGTGAATTCCATGTCCTGGAGGTCTTGCAGGTTCCTCCTCTACAATATCCCCCCAGGATGTATTTTGGCGCCAAGATTCACGAGCTGTTCATGAAAAAGAAAACCACTGTTACTGTTTAAGCACATAGTTCTATAAAACTAACATTCAGAACAGACTTTTAAAAGGCATCAGCATTCTTACTCCATATTTTTTATTTTACACAGAAGTTTGTATAATAAGATCATCTACTTTAGACCCCTCTGCCTGTACACAAAACACACACACACACACACACACACACACACACACACATAATACCTTCATAATCCGCAAGGACATCATTCCAGTCCATAGACATACCACAGAAAAATACATTTCCACTGCCCATGCTGGCCTAAAATGTAATAAGGAAAATTCAAAAACAAATATTTGAACACAATTATAACCTTAGAAAGTAAACTGCATATGAAATTTTCCCAGCTTGTGCTAGTACATTTCATCTAATAACTAGCTCAAAACTAGAATAAAGCACATACCTCTTACGGTCACAATAATAACCAAGTTAAAAATGCCATAGTGTAAACACTTTAAGAGGAAGACAAATCTACTTGTCATTTAATAGCAGAGACAAATCAAGCGAATTTAAAAGAAACATATTGGGCCCAGCCAGCGTGGTTAAGCATTGACCTATGAACCCGGAGGTCACGGTTCAATTCCAGTCAGGGCACATGCCCAGGTTGTGAGCTCGATCCCCAGTAGGGGGCCTGAAGGAGGCAGCCGATCTATGATTCTCTCTCATCATTAATGTTTCTATCTCTCTCCCCCTCTCCCTTCCTCTCTGATATATATATATATATATATATATATATATATATATATATATATATATATATAAAAAGAAACATATTGGCCTATCCCGTGGTCGGCAAACTGTGGCTCACGAGCCACATGCGGCTCTTTGGCCCCTTGAGTGTGGCTCTTCCTAAGCCTTAGGAGTACCCTAATTAAGTTAATAACAATGTACCTACCTATATAGTTTAAGTTTAAAAAATCTGGCTCTCAAAAGAAATTTCAATCGTTGTACTGTTGATATTTGGCTCTGCTGACAAAATGAGTTTGCCGACCCCTGGCCTGTACTATTATAACACACTCTAATACACTATACTATACTAATACAGTGCACTAGCACTATATACATCCTGACATATTCAGATCAGACATGAGAAGGGCTCAAGATTATTCTTTAAGAAATCCCTCTCGCCCAGCTGGCGTGGCTCAGTGGTTGAGCATCGACCTATGAACCAGGAGGTCATGGTTTAATTCCTGGTCAGGGCACATGCCAGGGTAGTGGGCTCGATCCCCAGTGTGGGGCGTGCAGGAGGCAGCTGATCAATGATTCTCTCTCATCATTGATATTTCTCTCTCTCTCCCTCTGCCTTCTTTTCTGAAGTCAATAAAAGTATATTTTAAAAAAAAGAGCCCTAACCTGTTTGGCTTAGTGGATAGAGCATCAGCCTGCGGACTCAAGGGTCCCGGGTTCGATTCAGGTCAAGGGCATGTACCTTGGTTTCGGGCACATCCCCAGTAGGGGGTGTGCAGGAGGCAGCTGATCAATGTTTCTCTCTCATCGATGTTTCTAACTCTCTATCCCTCTCCCTTCCTCTCTGTAAAAAATCAATAAAATACATTTTTTTAAAAAGGAAAGAAATCCCTCTCATCAACAACTTGAGTCTGCTGAGCACTTAGTGACAGCGAAGCAGCGTATCGTTTGCTTTTTATTAAAATAAAAACAGTAAAATGCCTTATATTCTTCTTCAACCTCTGCAATTACAATCTGAGTAATGCTAAGCTCTTACTTTCTGAGATTCAATTTCTTGATTTGTAAAAAGAAAATAACTTCTAACTTGTCAAATGCATTGTACTAAAAACTCTTAATAATGTTAAAGTGCTAAATTAAGAATTGCAATTATTTATTGTTTGTCTTAATCACACAGAATGATAATACAGTTATTGAAGATAATTTTAAAAGTCATTTTAAATAGGACTGGATGAACTCTAGATCCTTCCGGCAGTAAGAATTTTATTTTTGAATATACTTTTTTGAACAATTATAAAATTCTAAAGGCTCACAGAAAAATCACTGTCGTTGTCAGTTTCAATATTAATATCATTGTTTTCTTCAGCTTCGATTTCTCTAGTTAATTGTTCCTCTTCAGCAATAGCACTAGCAATGGCTTCTTCATTGGCCTTTTCTAGGCGATCTGCTAGCTCTTCCTTTTTAGCAAGAACTTCTGCCATGGACTGCAAAGTTAAAAACAAACAGCATGAAGAGTCACCACTTGACCGGCAAGTTCAGTAGTTATCTCACTCTTTATATTCTAATCACACACTCAACAGTATACAGAACAGCATTGTTCTAGAATTATAAAACCTCAGGTCCAGTACAGCTCAACCACTCCCTAGCTGTGTGACTTGAAAGTTTCTTAAAAGCAAGAGCCCATTTTGTATTTCATAACATGGTACAGTAATCCATGACTTACCTTCCTTACCAGACTGCTGTGTATGAGAAACTGTGAAGTTGTATAAATAACAGGTATTATTATTAATGACAGTGTCAATTTCATTTGCATGCAAAAAATTCAAAAGTTATAGATCAAATATCTTAAAAATGAAGGAAAACCATCCTATATAATAATCCTATATAATAAAAGGCTAATATGCAAATCGACCAGACAGCGGAATGACCAGTCGCTATGACGCGCACTGACCACCAGGGGACAGACGCGTCACTATGATGTGCACTGACCACCAGGGGGCAGCTGCCTCCTGGTGGTCAGTGTGATCTCCAACTGCAGGCTTAGGCCCACTTTCTGTGGGCCTAAGCCGTCAGTCAGACACCCCCCAAGGGCTCCTGGACTTCGAGAGGGTGCAGGCCGGACTGAGGGACCTCCCCCAAGTGCACGAATTTCGTGCACCGGGCCTCCAGTTTTACAATAAGGGAAACAGAGAAAGAATTTATGTAATGTTGATGATACCTAACTTAGATATATGTATTACAAGTAATATAGATCAGGATCATTAATTTATAAATCCCCATGGTAAGCTAAATACATATACAAATATAGCTCCACAGTGATATTCAGATATTTCCATATCCCTCTGTTGACTGATAGAACAAGTACCAAAAACATAGGAGACTTGGACAATATTATCTACAAAAGTGACCTCACTGTCTTCCCAAGAGAAATGAAAATATGTGTTCAAAACAAAGACAAATGTTCATGGCGCCTTCGTAACAGAGGACCTGGGAAAAACTCAAACATGTCATCAAATGAATGGATGAATAAATATACTGTGTTACATGCACACAACAGAATAGGCCTAAAGACAAAAAAAAAGAATGAACTAATACACAACCACATGAATGAAATGTGAAACAAGTATGCTTGAGTGAAAGAAGCCGCACCAAGATTACATTATTCCACTGACATAAAGCTCTGAAAATATCGATTAATAAATAGTGATAGCAGGAAAGTGATGACCTGGGAAGGGGTACAAGGAATGGCAGAAAGTGGGCATGACAAGGGGGGAAAGTGGACACTTTTAGGGCAATCGGTATGTTCATTATCCTGACTGTGGAGATGACTTCATAGTTATAAACATATCAAAATTTATCAGTTTACATATTTCAGATATGTGAAGTTTACTAAAAATCAATTATAACTCAATAAAGGCACTTAAAAATGCAAATGCTTAGTCCCAGCTCAAAAACAAATGGGTTGGGAGTAGAACCCAGGCTCTGCTAGCTCCTTGAAAGCTTCCCCTCCTCCTTCCCACCTTGTCTCTCCACCCTCTGCCCCATACAACCACTCTCCCTGGGAAAACAATGGGGTGAGGGAGTTTAGATGAGAGTTTATTTCTTTACATCATAAAGTTTTTCTCTATAAACCCTAGAACACAGAAGCTGACTGCTGTTAGGTCCCACACAGATATTACAACTAATAGCAATTTAAAAATACAAATAGTAGCTCTGACCGGTTTGGCTCGGTGGATAGAGCGTCGGTCTTCGGACTAAAGGGTCCCAGGTTCAAATCCGGTCAAGGGTATGTGCCTTGGTTGCGGGCACATCCCCAGTGGGGGGTGTGCAGGAGGCAGCTGATCGATGTTTCTCTCTCATTGATGTTTCTGACTCTCTATCCCTCTCCCTTCCTCTCTGTAAACAATCAATAAAATATATTAAAAAAATACAAATAGTAAAGCTGAAATATTTAACTTCACAAAAAGTAAGTTCACACATGAGCCCATTTCCTCAATTGTATCTTGCCCCAAGCACATTCCCATTTAGTCTCTGAAGACCCGAGAAGACGTTAATACGAGAGACCTTAAGGATGAAGTGATGATTCCATTACCCACATGTAAGTTTTACTATTTCACACTGTGAATTTCAAATAAATATCTGCATACATCATTTGTAGATCTATGAAAAGAAAAAATTTAAATATGACCAATTTCTACCCCATATATTAAGTCCACTACTTGTTATACTATAATGATGTTCAACCTTTGAAACCATTCACACTAAAAAATCCAAGTTAGAAAAACAAATTATTCTTTATTCCTTATTAAAGGAATCTAAGTATTTTTTTTCTTGTTACTATCAACCTTATTTCTCCCTTAACCCATATGGTTTCATCTGTATCTAATGCTATTCTCTATCAGAAGTATAATTTGGCCTATTTCCATCTGCTGACAGCATCTTGCAGTATGATGAGGCAGTAATTTTTTTAATTGCAAATATTTATTTCAAATTTGATAGCCATAATTTTCTTGCCTGAACCTAATAAAGAGCTAATGAAATTGGCCAACATGGACAAAAGATTAATATGAAATAGATGTTATAATATTTTAATACAGAGACAATTCAATATTGAAACTATTTTCATTTCTACCTTAGCCACAAGAAAATTAGCAGCAAGCAAAACTATAAGTTTCTTTTATCTTTTCTGAATAGGCCTGGAAGTTAAAAAAGAAAGTAACATAAGTGACAACGAAATGACCTAGCAAGTGTTTGACTGAGATAAGTTACAATACTTCTCCCCGAATTTTCAAACTGTCACTTCCTTGTTAGAGCTGAAAATAGCTCTTACAAATTGTTCTTCCTGATGCAAATCCACATTAAACTTTTATGTTAACACAATTCACTCAAAGCAATTCCAAATGAGTACATACAGACTTAGAGACAATTATGTAATGAACGATACTAGTTGTTGATAGAGCATTTAATCCCATTTAAATGAGGGTTTTATCCACAGAGAGCTGACTGAGGTTTTCTCTTTCCTTCCGTAAACCCAGTGCTCACACCCCAATTCCACTGGATAAGCATGTGCTATGCGGCTGGTAGGTAAAGACTCAGAGACTTGGATTCCCAGGACTGTAAAGGTGAGTAACATGTAATCTGCAAGATGAATATAGTTATAAATAAGAACATGTACAATTTATTATAATGTAAGGCAGTATAACAAAGTGACTATTCAAAGAACGGGTAGGTTATTTTTCATAGAAATGATGAAATCTGAGTTGATAAAAGAAATTTCATTGGGGAGAGGTTTGGAAGTCTGTGATGTGATTCAGAAGTTGCTGATGGGCTTTTAGGAAGATCATCCTGGTGGAGGGTCTGTTATGAGAGAAGTGAGGGAGAACTGAGAGCTCATGTGTGTTCAGGAAATGGCCAGTTGAGAGGAGTAAAGAAGTTGGAAAGACGAGGGCGGTCGAGGTGAAGTGGTTATGGAGGAAACTTGTATCATAGTAAGTGAAAGGGTTTGAACTTAATCTGTAAGTAATAGGGACTCACTGACCATTATGGGACAAGAAAGTAATTTAATTAAACCTGAGCTTTGAACTGATAACTATAATGACAGTGACCTAGGAGGATTTGAAAGTGGAGACAGATAGACTAGTTAGGCTGTCAGTTAGGTGGGGCCACGTATTTAAGGTTTGGCCAACAGATGTAAATGGAAACAGCCTGGAGGCACTAAGTTTTTAAAGAAATTATAGTATACTAGAGGCCCAGTGCATGAAATTCCTGCACTGGGGCGGGGGGATCATCCCTCCCAGTCCGGGAGCCCTCAGGGGAATGTCCGACTGCCAGGGAGGCGGGAGAGGCTCCCACCACGGCCACTGGGCTCGCCAGCCGTAAGCCCGGCTTCTGGCTGAGCTCCCCACAGGGGGAGCGCACTGACCACCAGGGGGAAGCTCCTGCATTGAGCGTCTGCCCCCTGGTGGTCAGTGCACGTCATAGCGACAGGTCGTTCTGCCGTTCGATCGATTTGCTTATTAGCCTTTTATTATATAGGATGGTGGCCATTTAGAAAAGCACATTCGAATAATTTTTCGCAACAACTTTTTATATATGCTTATTTCTTCTGAAAGTTACTTTATAAACAAAACTAGCATGACCTATTCTGGATTATCCTCAGATCTAGTATCTTAATACTAATGTGGGAAATAGGAAAATATGAGAAGTACTCATCCAAAAATATAAACCTATAAATAATCACAAATCAACGCATTTTTACTGAATCTACAATGGGAATGATACATAGATTTCATCTTGAACACCGCCTCCAAGCACTGTCTGAAGTCTGTGAAGAGAGCTTTTAACACTCATTCCAGCATGCACCATTTCCCACCTATCAGAGAGCTGCATTTGCATGCAAGACTTGCTATTGACTCAGTTTCTTAATGCTAGACTAAAAAACACATACAAACGAAAAGATTTTGAGCAAGTTTTTTAACTCTCACATTCTCATTTTTTTCCTCTACAAAACAAGAAGTTTGATAAAAGTAAAATGTTAAAATAAAATCATATGTACAATGCTTTGTAAAAAAAGTGCTTTGTAAAGGGTAAAATAATACATAATACAATTTATTATTGGGGTTTATGCCTAATAATAGGTTATCGCTTTAATGAATTCACTCATAATTCTGATAAGTTGTTCTTACCAAGTTAGCAGCACTCACATTTGAAATATCTGAAGAGTCCATTTCACTGTCTATCCTTGCTTTCTCTGCTGAAAATCTCTCTTCATTTGTATGCAAAGGAGGTGAGTCATCTTGCTGATTAATTGAAACACACACTGTATCCCCTTGCACAGCAGGTATTTCAGAACTTCGCACAGAACTGTCCGGTAAGATACTACTACTGCCAGAGTTCTTGACGTCATCCAGTGTATTCGCTGTGAACTAACAAAACATATTTACAGAATGAGTCCGAAATACTAACGACTATACTTTAGAAGCAGTTGTTAAGTGGCTGGCAAAACTCACTCACCTTTTTTGTATGTTTCAAGTGTAAACAAAAAGGAACCATTAAGCAAGCAGCCACAAATTTTATTTGCATACCAACTATGTATAGGGAGGGCACTGAGTGCTTTAAAAAATTAAGCAACACATATTGTAATTATATTTTACTTTAGTAGCCTGTTCTTGATGAGTACTTTAAGATATGCCTCACATGCCCTAACCGGTTTGGCTCAGTGGATAGAGCGTCAGCCTGCGGACTGAAGGGTCCCAGGTTCAATTCCGGTCAAGGGCATGTACCTTGGTTGTGGGCACATCCCCAGTAGGGAGTGTGCAGGAGGCAGCTGATCGATGTTTCTAACTCTCTATCCTTCTCCCTTCCTCTCTGTAAAAAATCAATAAAATATATTTTAAAAAAAAGATATGCCTCACAAAATAAATCTATTCACAAGTATAATATTTTGTCTTATATTCAAATAACTAAAGGCATTTACATGGTTTTTGTGAAGACTGTCTATTATAAAATAAAGGCACTTTTCACCAAAATATATACTTTGAGGGCATTTTACTAAAAAATATGAAGCATGCTCTCTTTAGATACCATTAACACAACCTCTAAGCATCTTTCATGAAGCCCCAACATAGTACATAATACCAATTCTCAGATCTAAGAGAAATACACCATAAACAGTACAGTATATGTGAGCACACAGTTTCAGTATAAGTTCATATTCTTTAGGTTTCAACATCTTCCCATTCCCCTTTAAGAATATCTAACACACTGGAGGCCCGGTATACAAAATTCATGCATGGGGATGTGGGGGAGGTCCCTCGCCTGGCCTGCACCCTTTCGCAATCCAGGATCCCTTGGGGGATGTCCTCCTGCCTGCCTGATCACCCCTAATAACTCACCTGCCTGCCTGATCACCCCTAATAACTCACCTGCCTGCCTGATCGCCCCTAATAACTCACCTGCCTGCCTGATCACCCCTAATAACTCACCTGCCTGCCTGATCGCCCCTAACCACTCACCTGCCGGTTTGATCGCCCCAACCACTCTGCCTGCCTGCCTAATCACCCCTAACCACTCGCCTGACTGCCCAATTGCCCCTAACCACTTGCCTGCCTGCCTGATCGCCCTTAACTACTCACCTGCCTGCCTGACTGCCCCTAACTGCTCGCCTGCCAGCCTGGTCACCCCTAACTGCCTCTGCCTGCCTGCCTCATCGCCCCTAACCCCTCTGCCTGCCTGCCTCATCGCCCCTAACTGCCTCTGCCTCAGCCCCTGCTGCCGCAGGAAGGACGTCCAGAATGACGTCCAGAAGCTTGTTCGGCTGTCCGGTCTAATTAGGATATTACGCTTTTATTATTATAGATAAGTAACATAATGTGAAAACAATTGAATTAGGCCAAATACATACTCATTTTTTAAAACCTGTCTATTCTAGTGAATAGAAATAAGCCTTTATTTTCACCTCAGAGTACAAAAAGAAAGCAGCTGTGTTTTCAAATTATATTCAAGAGTAATGAGCTCTACATAGAACTGAAATCTAAAATTTTGAATTTAAAACTCACATTACTACTTAAATAAACATTCGATAAATACTGCAGTGGCCATAAAATTCTGAGTTTGATTAATTATTTATCTAAATATTAAACTTGGCCAAGTCTTATAAACTACTTTAAAAATTCTATTGGTCAGAACTTAAAGTGTCCCAAAGTGTTGATTTTAGCATAAGCATTATTTAAATTGTATCCTATTGTTTATATTGCCATCAACATTACCTATACATCAGTCACCATGGTTTATAATCTTCTTGGCAATATTTATATTAGCATTACTGTTGTTTATAATACAGTCAACCTTGTTTATTAAAAAATCAATATAATTTATATGACAAAAAGAAAGCCTGACTATAAAGTAATGTTGAAAAAATACATAAATATGTTAATTCCATTTTTAGAATGACAGTGGAGAAAACAAATATTATGATTAGCTTGTCCACCATCAACAGTGAACTTTCATATTGAAATATTTTAACAACAGTTTAATTACTCAAAAGTTTTATGTGTGGATTATTCCTAAAATTCCAAAATCAGGTCTATTCATTACACAAAGCCAGCAAAATTCTTATATTGTTAAATTTTATAGTTAAAATGCACAATAGCAATAGATAAACACCGGGGATTGCTGCTTAGCACAACCACTTCAAGAATACAACTAAAAGACGGAACGGACATCATCCAGAACCACAGGAAGGCTGGCTGAGTGGAAATTCTACAACTAGAAGGAAAGAGAAAAGCATACCGAGACTCAGAGGAGCTGCGGTGCGGAAGTAAAGTACAGAGGTACGGAGGCGCACCCGGAGAGGGCTGGTGGCCGAGGACACGGTTGTCTTTTTCAATCGGTAGGGAGTCTCAAGCTCTGAGCTCCAGTTCCGGGCGAGTCTCTGGGGACCCAGACTCACACGGGAGAAACGGGACTGTCTGGCATCGGTCGGAACTCGAGGGCAGCTTTCTCTTGGAGGTGCTTGCAGCAATTGCCGGGACACTGAGAAGCGGGGCCTCTGAGGGCAGCCATACTGTTCGCTCCGCCCTGTTGATCCTCTGGGACTCCCACCCTGCCCAAGCTGTGCGCTGGCTTTTGCATATGAAAGGCCTGGCCCTTTGCAATCTGAAAATTACCTAACAAACTTGAGGCTGGCCCAAGGCCCCATGGCAACTTGCATTGCTTCACAGCCGGCTCCTGCTGGATAGCCTCAGGCAGAGGCTAGATTAGCACCTCCTTAGAGATCCAGGAGCCAGTGTGCCCGGTGGTCAGAGTGGGACCATCCAGATTACAACTCCTCGGATCCATAGAGGACACACTCAGGGGGCAGACTCAGTGAGCACCAAAGCCCCACTGAAGCAAGTCTTGTCCCGGAGGGGTGTCTCCAGCACAGAAGTTCTCCCACTGCAGACACAGCTGATTCTCACAGCCAATTGGCCTGGAGGTCAATCCCTCCCAGTGATACCTACAACAATCAAGGCTTAACTACAACAAGACTGTGCACACAGCCCATAAAGGGGTGCACCAAGAGTGTCCACCTCAGGTAATTGGGGAGGCTGAGCCACTGGGCCCCATAGGACACCTAGCACACAAAGCCACTCTATCAACACAGGGAAGCATAAAAAATGCGGAGACAAAGAAACAGGACACAAATGACAGAAATGGAGGAAAGCAAACTACTGGATATAGAGTTCAAAACCACACTTTTAAGGGTTTTCAAGAACTTTCTAGAAACTGCCGATAAATTTAGTGAGACCCTCAAAAAGTCTGGTGAATACTATGCTGCTGTAAAAAAGAAGGAACTCTTACCATTTGCAATGGCATGGATGGAACTGGAGAGCATTATGCTAAGTGAAATAAGCCAGTCAATGAAGGAAAAATACCACATGATCTCACTCATTCATGGATAATAGAGACCATTATAAACTTTTGAACAATAATAGATACAGAGGCAGAGCTGCCTCAAACAGATTGCCAAACTGCAGCGGGAAGGCCGGGGAGGGTTGGGGGGCAGGAGGGAGGGGGGTAAGAGATCAACCGAAGGACTTGTATGCATGCATATTAGCATAACCAATGGACATAGACACTGGGGGGTAGGGGAGGCCAGGGGATTGTCAAGGGCGGGGGGGGAAAAAGGACACATATGTAATACCCTTTGTAATACTTTAAGCAATAAAAAAAAAAAGTCTGGTGAGACCCTCAAGGATATGAAAAAGGACCAACTAGAAATTAAGCATACACTGACTGAAATAAAGAATATTATGCAGAGTTCCAACAGCAGACTAGAGGATCCCAAGAATCAAGTCAAAGATTTGAAATACGAAGAAGCAAAAAACACCTAACTGGAAAAGCAAAATGAAAAAAGAATCCACAAATACGAAGATAGTGTAAGGAGCCTCTGGGACAGCTTCAAGCGTACCAACATCCGAATTATAGGGGTGCCAGAAGAAGAGAGAGAGCAAGATATTGAAAACCTATTTGAAGAAATAATGACAGAAAACTTCCCCTACCTGGTGAAAGAAATAGACTTACAAGTCCAGGAAGCGCAGAGAACCCCAAACTAAAGGAATCCAAAGAGGACCACACCAAGACACATCATAATTAAAATGCCAAGAGCAAAAGACAAAGAGAGAATCTTAAAAGCAGCAAGAGAAAGACAGTCAGTTACCTACAAGGGAGTACCCATACGACTGTCAGCTGATTTCTCAACAGAAACTTTGCAGGCCAGAAGGGAGTGGCAAGAAATATTCAAAGTGATGAATGCCAAGAACCTACAACCAAGATTACTTTATCCAGCAAAGCTATCATTCAGAATTGAAGGTCAGATAAAGAGCTTCACAGATAAGGAAAAGCTAAAGGAGTTCATCACCACCAAACCAGTATTATATGAAATGCTGAAAGGTATCCTTTAAGAAGAGGAAGAAGAAGAAAAAGGTAAAGATACAAATTATGAACAACAAATACACATCTATCAACAAGTGAATCTAAAAATCAAGTGAATAAATAATCTGATGAACAGGAAAAAAAATTATTGGGACAGCTGAAAATTTTTGAATATTGACTATAAAATAGGTAATAATATATAAATGTCAAATTCCCTCAATTTTATAATTATAATGTGGTTATGTAAAAGTTTTTTCTTTGGCCCTAGCCAGTTTTGCTCAGTGGATAGAGCATCAGCCTGTGGACTGAAGGGTCCTAGGTTTAATTCCGATCAGAGGCACATGCCAGGGTTGCAGGCTCAATCCCCAGTGGGAGGCATGCAGGAGGCAGCCGATCGATGACTCTCTTCATCATTGATGTTTCTATCTCTTTCTCCCTTTCCCTTCCTCTCTGAAATCAATAAAAAAAGTATTTAAAAAAAAGTTTCTTCTTTGGAAGGACATGCTGTAGAAGGTGAATGGTTATGATATGTGCACATTATTCTAATGTTTAGCATACAATGTTTGTGTGACATAAATATACATAGAAAAAAATATGGCAAAGCATTAACCTATGAATCTACATAAAGGACATAGGAGGGTTCATTGTTCTATACTTGCAACTTGTCTGCAGATTTGAAATTTTTCACAATAAAAAGTTAAAAATGAAGGAGAAAAATGAGACATTCTGCATACACACATCCTTTATAAAAATTCACTACAAGGATTTTCTGAGTGTACTACCTGGGTTCTTTCAGCAAGAGGATGGTCACAAGAATGTACTGAGTCTTTGGGCCGAGCTTCTATGGTGTTAGAAGGTGCGTCTCCAGCTTCCCCTTTCTGTACGCTTTCATCCGGTAAAAGACGTACATTTTCTTTATCACTGTCATCCTTTGACCTTAGTGCTTGTGTTGAAACTTTTGGCATCACTGCTGTTGATCGTGAGCGAACAGCCCTCCCTCTCTGAACAGTCTCCCATCCTTCAGCATCTTTCCGTTCTGTGCAATTAAAGGAAGAAAATAATAAATATTTCTGTAGATAATAAAAAATTTTAAAAACCTATAAAATAAAAATAATTCCAATCTAATTCCCATTAAATATAAGTCATATACAAATATGACACTGTTATACAAGGTGTATTGTATGTGTGTGTGTGTGTGTGTGTGTGTGTGTGTACACACATACATATACACGTACACACACGCACAGTCTCTAATTCCTATAACTACACCGTGTGGTAGGGGTTAATCCTACCCCACAAACATTTTCTTTATTATCCCTAATTTACAAATAACAAAACTGAGACTTAGATCAGGAATGACTGGAGGCCAGTGCAGGGTCCGAAGTGTGAGTGACCATTTATTAGAGCACAGGGTGCACTATGTGCTCGCCCTCTTCTCAGGGCTGTACATATAACCACACTTTTAATCTTCACAACCACCTACGAGTGCTACCACCCCATCCTATCAGTAAGGAAGCTGAGACCGAGAGAGGCTCAGTCATCTGCCCAAGGTCACACACTTAGCAAGTCCAGGCAAATGGGTCTGGTGTTCTTGTCCCAACGCTAAGTGAAAGCTGCCTCCCCAACTCCCAGAATCCAAAGAGTGTGATTTAAGTTTTCTTCTTTTCTAACACATGTAATTGAGGCTAGAAATTTTCCTCAAAGCATAGCTTTACCTAATCCCACAAGATTTTAAATGTTCATTTTAATTCAATTTACATTTTCTAAATTTCATTTTGATTTCTTCTGACTCATGGAATATTCAGAAATAGACTCTACAATTCCAAAAATGTGAGAATTGTATGGTTATCTTTCCGTAACCGGTTTCTAACTTAATTCCACTGTGTTCAAAAGGAGCAGAGTAAGTTCAATCATCTGAAATTTTTTGGAACTTGTACAGCCATGACAAAGTTGCCTATATCAAAATTAACCTTCTTTCCTCCAAACACGCCTATGAAAACTAGACAAAATATCTAAATGAACTGTTTAATGCCCCTGGAAATCAAGCAATACAGGCGAGACTTCAGGAACTATATTCCCTGAGAAAAGGGAAGGACAACAACATGAGATCCACATCCACCCCAGAATTTTCCCTGAAGACATGTGGAATTCACAGTGCAGGGAAGTGAGCCCCACAGAAACCAGCAGTCTTGTCTGGCTGAGACAGACACTGGAGTTCAATGAGCCTAAAGCAACGGGGACTGCAGAGGGGCTCACTGCAGGAAAGTGAGCCAGAGTCTGCATTCCGTCTTCCCTTCAGAAGTCTGACAGCTGCTGAGCTTTGCATAGACAGGCCAAGACTCCCAGGCACCCAGAGAAAGCAGCAGCTGGGATGCTAATGAGCTGAGAGGTCTGTAGTAACTGCAGTGCTGAGGAAACAAATGCTGGAAAGCAGGAATGGAGTGGCCTTGGCAAACTCCCCAGGTTTTCAGTTGATACGCGAAAAAGGATAAAGACAAAACTAAAACATACCAACTGTAATAAAACCTCAAACCAAGCTCTGATGGAATTAAGGTGATCTGTTGGTACTCTTATCTTCTTGCCAAAAGAAAAGTATTTTTAGAAGGAACCTCTATAATTTTTAATATATGTTATTAAACATTTAATTAAATAGTATGTGGTTTGTTGTAAAACACAATCAAGTAACTGAAAACGCCACAAAAATGTTTTTAAAGTAACAAATACACAGGTAGTTTAGATATTTTACTTTTTGGACACAGACTTTAAAAAAATAACCATTATTAATATATTTAAGAAAATATGGATTCATCATATAGAACAGAGAAAGACATATCAATAAAATGTTTCTAGAGTGAAGCATCAAAAAAAGAATGGGAAAGAATAAGCATTATTTGTTAGGCCTTTCAATTATGACAAGTTCATTAATCAGGCTGTGTATATCTTTACTGATTTTTCTCTACTTTGTATTATCATTGTTGGGACTGTTATGTTAAAATCTTCCAGTATGAGTATATATTTTGAAATTTCCACCCTCATTTGTCAGTTTTTACTTTATTTCTACCCCTCTCCCCCTGTGGGTGGTATGCAGGAGGCAGCCAATCAATGTTTCTCCCATGGATGTTTCTATCTCTCTCTTCCTCTCCCTTCCTCTCTCTGAAATCAATAAAAATCTTTTTTTAAAAAAAGAAAATAGCCCTAGCTGGTTTGGCTCAGTGGATAGAGTGTCAGCCCATGGGCTGAAGGGTCCTTGGTTTGGTTCTATTCAAGGGCACGTATCTTGGTTGCAGACTGGATCCCTGGCCCTGGTCGGGTACATGTGGGAGGCAACCAATCAATGTGTCTCTTTTACACCGATGTTTCTTTCTCTTTATCTCTCTCTCCCTCCATCCCTTCTACTTTCTCTAAAAGCAATGGAAAAATATCCTCGGGTGAGGATTAACAACAACCAAAAAAAAAAAAAAAAAGAAAACAGATGTGTGAGTAAAGATAAACATAGAATATTACTTTAATATCAAAATAATATTCAAATATTAATAAAATGAAATAGTGGCATGCAACTTAAAAGCGTATACTGCGTAGAGAATGGAATGACTATTTTTTTTCTTTAAGTCAAAAGAGTTATAAAGGACCTACATTATAAATGAATTGACAAACCTGAGACTAGAATGATTTCCATATGCTTTCATACATTTTTAAAGAATATTTCATAGCTGTAAGTAGGGCAGATTAATATGATATAAATGATGCGAAAGATAACTATATAATGCTATTAGCTCCAATTTCAAATAAAACAAATATTCCCATTGATGTCCACTTGTCTACTAGATAAAAATGAATGAAAGCCACTTGCCATTTTTGCAGGAAGTCTTCTGCACCGTCACTGGTGGGCAAGACTGCGCAGGAGCTACATCTGAAGAAGCAGTAGTCCCTGAATGATGAGCCTTTACCTTGTCAGCCCAACTAACACCTGCAGAAGCCACACGGGGAGCAGCCACTGTGCCAGGTGAAGCCCTATGGAGAAAACTGCTGCATTAATAACTCACATAAATATAAAAGTTAAATATTAAATATATACTCAATAGGTTTAAATGTTAAATAAAATATATTTCGCCCTAGCTGGTTTGGCTCAGTGAATAGAGCGTTGGCCTGAGGACCAAAGGGTCCTGGGTTCAACTCCAGTCAAGGGCACAAGCCCAGGTTGCGGGCTTGATCCCCAGTAGGGGGCATGCAAGAGGCAGCCGCTCAATGATTCTCTCTCATCATTGATGTTTCTATCTCTCTCTCTCCCTCTCCCTTCCTCTCTCTGAAATCAATAAAAAACAATTAAATGAATGAATGAATGAATGAATCTCCAATGAGAGTAACACCTGATTTCTTATCAGAAACCATGGAAACCAGAAGGCAGTGAGAGGACATATTCAAAGTGCTGGGGGAGGGAGAAGGAGGGGGGAGACTTTAAACCAAGAATTATATGCACTGCAAAACTATCTTCAAAAGCTAAAGGATAAAGTAAGTTATTCTCAGATAAAACTTGAGAAAAACTGTCACTAGCAGACATGTTCAACAAGTCATGCTACAGGGAGTCCCCTACAGGCTGAAATGAGAGGACACTGCACAGTAACTTGAATCCACAGGATGAAACAAAGAACACCAGTGAAAGTACTACACAGGTAATAAAAAAGACCATGTGGATGTATTTTTTCTTCTGTAACTCTCTTCTTGTCCTGATTTAACAGACAACTGCATAAAACAATGATTATAAAACTGTGTTGGTGAGATTATCATGTACAAAGATATAATTTATATGACAATAACAATGATAATATGTAGAGCTATCTTTTTGAAAGAACTGTCAGTTCTTGTTATGAGTCATTTAGCATGGAGTATGTTTATGGGTTTAGATTTTGTGCACCTAATTATTTCTGAATATATTATATTTTCTAAAGTTAAACTGTACTGTCCTGGGTTTTTAAAAAACATTTTATTCAAACAATTTCGAACAGATACACAACCATATACATGGGTATTTTTGTAACAGAATATCTGTTTTATAATACTTTAAGTATGTTAACCACAGAAAATAATTTACAGCAATGAAAGCCTTAGTAGTTTTTTTTTAGTTCATCTCACCCAAAATTTAAGCTTCTTCGAGCATTTGATGTTACACTTATTCTATCTGTTGATGGACTTGGAAGCACATGACGTCCCGGAGACATCTTCTTTACTTCCCACGCCAATGACGTCGGTCTGCCGATTCAAGACAGATTACATTAGCAGAGAAAAGAGAGGAAACCTAATGCTTTCTAGAAGTTACTAGTAGGTGGAAACGTAATTAGGTCACAATTTTTTCCTGGAGCACTGTTGACCATAAAGTAACTATATTACCAGTAAGCAATCACAGATGATGCATAGTCAGGATTTTCCACCCACTTCAGCATAGCAAACAACCCTACTTAAATAAAAAAGGCCATGAGGTACAAAGACATGAGATATATAGTACATTATGTTTTGAAAGCCTCCACACACCCAGCTCAACACATTTTAAAATGTGGTACAATGGCTCTGGTTGGATGGCTCGGTTAGTTGGAGTGTCATCCCACACACAGAAAGGATATGGGTTAGATCTCTGGTCAGGGCACACGTGGAGGCAACCAATCAATGTTTTCCTCTCAGATCGATGTTTCTCTCCCTCTCCCTGTCTCTCTCTCTCTAACAAAAACATACTAGTATCTTCTGATGAGGATTAAAAAAAAAGAAATATTGTTTCTTTATAAAAAAGTGGTGCAATGGTACTGATTCAGGCTCGTGTGTCTACTGTCCTGAGAACTACTAGTAAGTGTGTAGTCCTGGGATCCAGACGGAAATGCAGTGAGGAGGTTAACGGAATACCCAGGGAAACATGAAGGCTCCTTTCTCTACCTGAGATCACCCATGTGAGTGGAAGCATAAACACTTTTTTGCTCTTTGCTGAGGAAGCTAACTCCTCCTTCCTCACAGGCCCACAGCCAATCAGCTGCACAATCTCCACTAAAAGGTTTTCCTCCAGCAAAGTGTTCTACACCCCACGCCTTCAGTCACCTCCTCGCTCCCCAGAACCTCTGTGCCTCTCACTCTCCGTTCAGCTAGTGATTTTGATTTTTTTCTCGCAATGTAACACGGATTGTTAGAAAATAAGAAAATTCAGATAAAAGGTTATCCAAATCAAGTCTAAAGCATTTGATAATTCACTGCCCAATCACCTTTCACAAAGGTTGTAACAAATGATACGTCCACCAGATGATACGTGCCCTTTCCCTGGAAGCTTGCCAACAGCTGATCTCTTCTTTTAGAACTCTCATTGGCCTGTGAAAAAGACAGCACTGCCAGCAAGTCTACAATATGTACTATCCGGCACTTTACAAAAAAATGTTTCCTGAGTCCTGGGATAGAGTTTCAGTCTTGTAATGACTTCTTTTTCCTACAGGAATTTCAGTAAAGGTTGTTTAATGTTTTAAAAAATGCTATTTGTGTTTGTTTTTCAAATTTTTGTTTATGATTATCATTACTACTTAGGCTGAACTTTTTAACAACTATTTGAATTTTTTATTTTGGAATTTGCATGTTGGTACCTTCTGCCTGTTTTTTTCTACTGGGATTTGTAACATTTTCTAATTGATTTGAAATCATTTACTACTACTACTATTACTATTATGGCTATAAATCCTTTGGGTTAGATGATGTACCTATTTCTCTTTTAATTTTTTAAGTATAATAACATATTTTCTTCCTATTAAATCAAGCCTATCAATATTTTCTTTTGTGGTTTCTTACTTTGTCTTACAGAGTCCTTGCGCACAATAAAAATATGTAAATATGTATCTACTAAAGGCCCGGCGCATGAATTTGTGCACGGGTGGGGTCCAGCCAGCCTGCCCTGATCAGGCCGGGCTGGCCAGGGAGAGGGGTCGCAGGCGGTTGCCGGGCTGGCCCCGCCCCTGATCAGGTGGGGGAACTGATCAGAGGCGGGGCTGTCCAGGGCCGGGGCCACGGGTGGTTGGGCCACGGGTGGTTTGGCCAGCCAGCCCTGCCCCCTGGTCGAACGCCCAGTTGAACTCCTGGTCAAACTCCCAATTAAGGGGACAATTTGCATATTAGCCTTTTATTATATAGGACTAGAGGCCCAGTGCACAAAATCTGTACACGGGTAGGGTCCCTAGCAGCTGCCGGCTGCCGGCCAGGGCCTCCCTTCATCAGCTGCCAGCTGCCGGCCGGGGCCTCCCTTCCTCAGCTGCCGGCTGCCGGCCAAGGCCTTCTTTCATTCCGCGCTGCTCCCTGGTGGTCAGCGCATGTCATAGTGAGCCATAGAACTCCCAGTCAAACTCCCGCAGGGACACTTTGCATATTAGCCTTTTATATATATAGATATTTTCTTCTCTAAATATGTACAATTTCAGCTTTTATATTTAAGTCTCAAGTCTAGGTGAAATTAATTCTGATGCATGATTTGATAAATATAAGCTGAATAATGCCATTTATAGGGAATTTAAGGTTGCTCTCTGTATCTGAGAGCTGCCTTGAGAGGCAAAGAGAAGAAATGATGTTAACTGGTTAAGGTAAGAAGAGACGCTCCAGGTGTTTCTGAACCATGAGATGGCTGTGAAGGTTGGACTGGGCCTCAGAATCTTTCTCAATACAATCCTCCACACAGCCACCACTGGTTGCCTGGAGTTTGCAAGCAAGAAACAAAAATATAATTAGCTCTTCATGTGCATTGGTGGTTACATTATAGAAACTCAATGAAGTTCAATAAAAAAGAAAATAAAGATTTGTTGTATATAAACTGTACAAGGTCAAGGACCTTGGAAGGGGGACCAAAGGAAGGGGGAACTAGAATCAGGGCTCGTGATGATTAGATTTGGAAGACACAGGCTTTGAAGCAACACTTTTAAATTCTCTAAGATCACATGATTTCTTTCGTCCTTCTTCTCTCTGTACATCTACTCCACTTTCCTTGAACCTGCTTCCCTTTGCTTATCTTCACAGGACAATGTAGCCACCAATCCCACGTCAGCATTATAATCTCCTAACCTGATTCAACCCAGTGAAGAAATGCACCCCCTACACACACAGATCTAATCACATGTTACAAGAAGTAAGGGCAAAATTGCATGGTACAAAGACAACTCAGCCTCACCCACCCAGGAACCGTGGGTAAAGCAGGTGCGCGCGCGCGCGCGCACACACACACACACACAATCAAAATTTTTACTGTGAGAAACAAAAATTTTAAAAGGATCAACACATCATGGTTTCCCTGATTTTGGTTTCCTGTGGAATCAAACCTTTTGGATCTGTCTCTTGGGATCCCTTCACTCTCTTGGTTCCCCCAAAAGAGGCATCCTCTACTGGCTGGTCCACTTACTGAGGCTGAACCAACGTTAAATCCAAGGAAAGAGGTAGCCTGGGCCTATTTTCTTTGGGTCATAGGCATCATTGTAGCTACATGTGACTTGGCCCAGATCAAAAGGGATCAGGTTTCACTTAATAAAAACCTTTTATGGCTCAAAATAAAGTGTACAGTTTTATCATGTCTACAGCACCCTACGTAATCCGGCTCCAGCCCACCTGTCTAGGCTCACCTTATGCTCCGCCTCCCCTTGCTCTCCTCACTCCAGCCCTGCTAACACTACATTCCCGACTCCACTGTGCTCTCCCACCTCCTGGATATCACGGATCCATTACCTCCAATGGAATGACTCTTCTCTTTGCCAAGGTAAGTCCTCCTGATATTCTGTCTCACTGAAATAGGACCTCCTTGGGGAAGCCTTCCTGGACTCAACAAAGCTGCTGAGGGAGCCCTCTCTTATGCTCCCAACACACACTGTGCTTCTTGTTGATTCCACTTTGCACACTGCTCAGTACTTGACATCAATCCTTCCTGTGAGTGAATGCGCCCACCACACATTTCACGAGGGCAGGGCCTGAGTGTTTCCCACCACTAGTCCCAGAGGCTGGCACATCGCATTCAGATGTGTGTGCTGATTCCCGATGAACATTGTAAGGTGGCTCTGGTCTCTCATTACTCCCCTAATTAAAAATCACCCATTTTCCTTACTGTCTTACTACATTAAGAACTACTATACCTTTCCCTACATTTCTTTCCCTTCATACATGCTCTGCACTTCCATGGCTGTCTTAACTTACCCCCTTCATGTGAAAGGCCAACCTCTGTTAAAATCCATCATACCCTTTAAACACTTCTGCTACCTCCACGAATTCCTTCCTAGTCTATCCCGTCCTTTTCTGAAGAGCTGGATTAGTTTTTTATAGTCATATGTTCTATTTTACCCTTCCCTTAGACTACAAATTCATGAAAGTAGTGAACGTACCAAACTTCAGCAGTGAAATTTCTGCACTGGATAAACGGGGCTTGCACTAGTTACCAAATAAATATTTGTTACTCAACTGAATGAGAAATGCGGAGGTCAAGTTCATTGTCAATTTCAATGACCGCTTTAGAAAATGCTGGCAGCTACAATTATAAAGGCCAGAGCTCATTACCTGCTCTGAGCATCGGTCTTCTCTAGCTTTTCCTGAAGTTGAATCCAGTCAATCAATGCTTTGAAATCTCTTACATAATTATCCAGCATCATCAGCACCTCCTAATTGAAAAAAACAACAAACATTAAATTCCATTCTTAGACTAAAAGTTTAAAAAAAACATACTTCAGAGTGAAGAACTTAAAAATTAATAATTTCTACATTATACTCCTTACTGAGGAAGCTACAAAATATACTGATCTAGATTTTTGGTTGTTGTTTTCATTCTTACTGCTTGGCAAGAAATTAGTGAAGCTGAGAAGCTAAAAACCAAGAGATGGTATTGATATTCCTCTCAAGACCTCTAGAATGACCATTCTTTTTTAAAAATATATTTTTATTGATTTCAGAGAAAGAGAAAGGGAGAGAGATAAAGAAACATCAATGACGCCTGACCAGCGTGGCTCAATGGTTGAGCGTCGACCTCTGAACCAGGTGATCACAGTTCGATTCCCGGTCAGGGCATATGCCCGGGTTGCGGGCTTGATCCCCAGTGGGGGGCATGCAGGAGACAGCCAATCAATGATTCTCTCTCATCACTGATATTTTTATCTCTCCCTCTCCCTTCCTCTCTGAAACCAATAAAAAAATTTTTTTTAAAAAAAGAAACATCAATGATGAAAGAGAATCATCGGTTGCTGCCTCCTGCATGCTCCCCACCAGAGATTGAGTCCATAACACAGGCATGTGCCCTGACCGGGAATCAAACCATGACCTCCTGGTTCACCATTCGGTGCTCAACTATTGAGCCACACCATCTGAGCCAGAATGCCATTCTTTTAACCCTCTGTATTGTGACGTTAATAAACAGAAAGTACACAAAACACAAATGTACAGATAAATCATTTCGGAGCACAGACCCAAGCAACCACCACCCAGGACAAGAGTATAACAATTCCAGTCTCTAGAAGTTCCCTGGTATCTCCTCCCTATTACAACTCCATGTCTTTCCAAGGTAACCACTGCTTTAATCTGTAATAGTTCAATTTCACCTTATTCCAAAATCCATATAAATGAACCCATAGTGTATGTATTATTTTGCGGCTTCTTTCTTACATCTGTTTACTAGGTTCATCCATATTTCAGTGTACCTGCAATTCATTTATTGTCGATGTCCAAGGTCACAACTGAACAATATTCTTTAAATGGATATTTACTTATGCAATCAACTGTTGAATTAGATGAGTTCAAATTCTGGATATTACAAATTATACACCGCTACTTATGTAGATGTGCTCTACACTGACTGATGTTTGCATTTCTGTTGGGTATAAGCCCAGGAGTGAAACTGCTGAGTCACAGGGCAGGAGTATGTTCCACTTTAGTACACGACACATACTGGTTTTCCAAGGAGACTGCCATCCCACCAGCAGTATATGAGAGTTCCCTTTTCTCCACATCCTTTCCAATACTTATTTGTCTTACTGGCAATAGCCATTGTAATAGGTGTGAGGTGGTATCTCATTGTAGTTTTTGTTTTTTAAATACATTTTTATTTATTTTAGAGAGAGAGGGAGAGAGAGAGAGAAACATCAATGAGAGAGAAACATGGATCAGCTGCCTCCTGCACACCTCTTACTAGGGATCGAGCCTGCAACTCAGGAAGACCAGGAATTGAACCAGTTACCTCTTGGTTCATGGGTTGACCACTGATCCAAACTGGCCAGGCTCACTGTAGTTTTGATTTGCATTTCCCTTATAGCTACAATTTTTTCTTATATCTATTAGCAACTGTATGTCTTCCTTGAAAAAGTATCTATTCAGGTCCTCTGCTAATTTTTTTAAATGTTTTTATTGATCTTTAGAGAGAGAGGAAGTGAGAGAGAGATATAGAAACATGGATGAGAGAGAAATATCATCGATCAGCTGCCTCCTGCATGCCCCCTACTGGGGACTGAGCCTGCAACCCCGGCATGGGCCCTGACCCAGAATCGAACCGGTAACTCTTGGTTCATGGGTTGACGCTCAATCACTGAGCCACAGGGGCCGGACCCTCTGCTCACCTTTTAACCATTTTTTCTCCTTATTAAGTTGTGTGTGTTCTACAACAGCCAAGACATGGAAACAACCCAGTGGCCTTCAGCAGGTGAATGGATACAGAAGAGGTGGTACATATCTACAAAGAAATACTACTCGGCCATAAAAAAGATAAAATATTCCCAAATGAAGTACATCCCATGGAAAAGGACAAAAACCATATGATTTCACTCATTTGTGGGATAGACAACAAAAAGCAACCAAAGAACAAACAAAACAAACAAAAAACCACACACAGAAACAGCAACAAACGATGGCTACCAGAGGAAATGGGGGTAGGAAGGATGAAGACAGCAGAGGGTCAGACACAAGGTGGAGGAAGCGCCCGGATGCGGTGTCATGTGGCTTGTACAGGTGTGTGCAGACAGCTGCACACCATGACACGTATAGGATACTGTTAGCAGTTACCCCAATAAATTTAATTTTTTAAAATGATAACTTGTTCTATGAAAACATTACTTTTCCATAACTAAGTTTGAAACTGACTTTATAGTATCAGTGGTACTCAAAGGTCTCAAAAGCACTTTTCAAATATAAATGCTTAAAAATTTTGACTACACTTTAGAAATTAGGCCCAACACTAACAATAAACTACACCTAATTACTCACAAACGAAATACAGCACCAACCTCACTTTAGTCACAAGAGTTATATTCTACTATAAAAGAACCCTTCTGAACAAAGAAGTATTGTTTATCTCCTTTCAAAGATAATCCTTAGTGACAAATCACTGGTAATAGTCTTCTACAATCAGGAAAAGGGAAAAATTTTTATTTAGTTGGCTTCCTTTTCTCAATTCTACTAATATAATTAAAATTAGTTAACTGAATTCATTCAACTTAAATCAATTAGAGCAAAGATTAAATTCAGAATGAATCTCACTTTTAAAAGAAGAGGAGGAGGAAGAGGAGGAAGAGGAGGAGGAGGAGAAGAAACAATCTCTACAGGACAAGACGACAGCAGCTATACCTCTGATACTCGTTGGCACAGAGAAAGTACATTTGGTGGCTTAAACAACCTATTTTAAGGAATGTTTAGCTCCACTTAATCAGAAGTGATCAGAGTGGAACCATGCAGCTGTAATCCGAGTCGTGTTTTACGAACAAGGGAACACAAACAAGACACGCAGCTGGAGCAGCCTCGCAGCCAATGATGCACATCTTTCTCCCCACGGCATGAAGGCCATTTTGTCAAGCAGGATGGAAAAGAACAAAAGTGCCTCTGAAAGTAACGTTATAGGCGCTCAGATAAGCACATATAGACGTACAGCTAAAATTACCAATTACTGTACCAATTGGCTGCAACAGATTTGATTGGTTTGTAATTAATTCTCGTCACTGGCGCACAGTGCCGGACGGGTGGCGCCATCCCTTTGTCCTGCTGACACCTAACACCAGCGCACAGGCCCTTGGGCCCAGGGCATCAATACAGCCTCCAACTCAGCTCCAGGAGTGAGCAGTGCTGAGCCCAGTGGTGAGGAAGGGGTGGAGACACGCACCACATGAGAAGGCAGTGATAAAGGGAACCTTATTAAAGACAGAGCTTCACAAAGTGAAACCAGTTTTAAAGAGCACGATTTTTAAGACCGGCTTTATTTTAAGCTACTAGTGCAGTGGTTCTCAACCTTCTGGCCCTTTAAGTACAGTTCCTCATGTTGTGACCCAACCATAAAATTATTTTCGTTGCTACTTCGTAACTGTCATGTTGCTACTGTTATGAATCATAATGTAAATATCTGATATGCAGGATGGTCTTAGGCGACCCCTGTGAAAGGGTCGTTCGACCGCCAAAGGGGTCGCAACCCACAGGTTGAGAACCGCTGTCCTAGTGGAACAGTAGTTCATGGAAATCATCTGAAAGAAAAACGGCCGATAAACCCCTCTCAATCATGTTAATAACATCATTCAGTTATCCGCACGAGCAAGCCAGCCCTCCCGCAGACCCTTGTGGGAACCAGTGAGAGGATGGCTCCCACCTCACCACCTGCGCCCTCTCCCCACCCACCCTCTGTCCACTTCATAAGGGAGAAGGGGAAACGCAGTGCTGATGGTGAGCACACAGTGTGTTGGAATGTCAGTTCGCAACAAGTCCTGCAGGAGTGGCTGATGGCATAACAGGCACATCGTCAAGCGAAAAAAATGAGAAATTCAGCCTCTTGATTACAGAGGTGGCCCTAGTCCATAATCCTGGCTGAAACAGAAAACATACTTTGTACTATCATGTTATACTTATCATGTGAATTATATAACAGAGCTATTATTAACTGCAAAAACACAAAAATCAAATCAAAAACAGTGACAAATCTTGTCAATACTTCTGCAGATCAAGGGTTGACTCCACCTGTAGAATGAGGGGAAAACCTGGATTATGTATCTCACAAAGATACTAACAAATGAGATAATGGAGAAAAGAATTTTTAAAAAAACCACCTCTAGGTAGTATATACCCAGCACATGTTGTGTATTTTCATCCCCACCTGGACGTCCTGGAGGGGAGGGTAGTCGAGTTGGGTATGAAAATACTGTTAAGCTCCCAGGTTTCATTCCTCAGTATAAGCCTCTGAGCATCTGGGCACAGCACAAAGAATAGAGACCACACCTCTACCTCTCTGCTCTCACTGTCAAAACCTCCATCGTTACATCTACAACTTGAACAACAGGTTTCTACTCCTGTTACACCTTCACGAAGCGTTGGTGGACGACTGACAGAGCCAGGAACACAAGCCACACTGTCTATGGCTCCAGTGCAGACCAGAGAACAGGCAGGGGTTTCCTCTGCTCAGCACAGAGACATACTGACAATCAGACAAACTCATTTCCATGAAGAGGTACACTCTTTACAAACAAATTTGATTTCTTCACTCAACCTTCTGTTATTTTTCATCATAAAGACAAACAATGTGCTAGTCTGACTGATCCCGAGGGCTGACCTGGAGATGATCTAGCCCCACATACTCACTTTATGTAAGAAAATATAACTCAGAATTAAGTCCAATAGTGTTATCTACCACAACATGCTGACTCATCAAACTCTGTGGATACGATTTTGCCCCAAAATATTTTTTAAATAGAAGAAATTTTATATGCTGATAGTAACAGTATTAATTGTGACAATCAAACCATAAATCTGGATAATTTCAATTACTCTTCATTCTAAACATCTGCTTCTGACGAATCATAATTCTAAGCTAATCTAAAACCTGTTTTGGTTGTTTCCAATTTCAGAGGAAAGGCAGCTGCTGTCTCAACGCATAACTTCCCTTTGACCCGACATACATTTCAGAGGTCGGCAGCCAATGCAGGGTTCTCAACCTGCTCACTGTAGAAACAGAGAGGCTACCTTCGTAATATGTCCATAAAGATGTATCACTGTGGATTTTCTCAATTAATTTTATTCAGTATAAAGTAATACAGCATACAGTTTGTATTTACTAAAAAGCCAGGCTTTGCAGTGAATTTTTAGAGACAGCTCACGCTGTGTGTCTGTTTAATATCCTATTACAAACACAAGGTTATCTAAAAATAGAAACATGCCTCACTGATGACATGCCATCCCCGCCCAGGATGGTTTAGGTAGCCTCAATCTCACTTTTCCCCACCCAGAGTGAAGTAGGAGAGTGATGGTATCTCAACGAAAAGGGAGCAATGTCTAATTCAGGGGTAGGCAAACTTTTTGACTCGAGGGCCACAACGGGTTCTTAAACTGGACCGGAGGGCCGGAACAAAAGCATGGATGGAGTGTTTGTGTGAACTAATATAAATTCAAAGTAAACATCATTACATAAAAGGGTACGGTCTTTTTTTTTTTAGTTTTATTCATTTCAAACGGGCCGGATCCGGCCCGCGGGCCGTAGTTTGCCCACGGCTGGTCTAATTAAAGACAGTAAACGGGAAACCAAAGAATGTGAAAAGTCTCACTAGTGCCACCTACAGTATCAAGGGAGAATGAAGAGAAGAGATTTTAAAAATAAGTGTGTGTGTGTGAGATTTCTTGCCCAGGACTATATATCAAGACAGCTTTCTACCAAATCTTGCACACAATATAAAAGCACATAATTAGGTAATGCAAAAACCAACGACCAAAGTACCCTTGAAAAACCAAGAAACACCCGAAGCTCTCACAGAAGCAGCGAGGAGAACAGGGGTGGCAGGGATGGGGGACTAGGGACAGGCTGGTCAGAGGGACAAACGGTCAGTTGTGACATGAGCAAGTTCTGGGGACCTTCTGTGCGGCGCTGCGACGACAGGTAACACACGGAGGGAAAGGAGCGAGGCGGGTGGAGCAGAGACGGGAGAGTCTGCTTCAAACGGATCGCAAAGCCTCACACAACACTTACCTTACACTCCACCACACTCTGATCCGATTCACACGTGACATAGATTTCATCGACTGCCCGGCGAAGGTTGTCAAAAAGAAACGCCCAGTATCTGGCTCTTAGATCAATTTTGCGAGGGTGCCTTGTTTTAGTGGGACTTTTATCGAAGTGTTTATCTCCAGTTGTAGATGTTATTTTACAATCTACCGCGGTGTTCTGGTGAAGCAAAACAAAACGTGAAAAAAATGTTTTGAAAATCCTCCATGGATGGGATTATTACATAAAGCACATGTTTCAACATAAATACTTAAAAACATGACATCATTCTTCTCAGCTTATATCACAGCACATTGGAATCACTTAAACAAAGCTTGTCATCTCAAACGGAAGCCTCAGGTTTGTAAAGTTAATTCTTATTTCAGGCATGTCTCACTGGAGGTATTAGAAGGACCTCAACTGTGACTAGATCCTTATTCAAAAAGGAGCACGAAAGAGGCTCCTGATTTACTGGAACCGTGTGTGGCACATTTATACACATTGACAAATAATAAAGGGCAAGGCCAACATTTTGAAACAGCGTGCATATATTCTTTTCATTGAAAAAATAACATACACTGCATAGTTCTACTCAGCTGCTTAATTTTATTGTAAACCATTTTTCAATTTAAAGTAAAAATTAACATGTAAGTGCAAAACAACTGCCGAGGAGAAAAGATGATGGATTCCTATCACCAGGCACATGCAACTGCAACCTCCCGGCCCAGCAGCACCTGCAGCCACAGGGACCAGGACTCACAACACGGGTGGCAACACCTGCGGGCCTAACAGCCCCAGAAACAGGGCAGGTGCCCGCTGCCCGAGCTCCCCACCCACCAACGCAATCCCCATGCCATGGAGACACTGCCCAAGACCCCCAAGACCCCAGACTCAGCGGGTACCGCCATCTCAGTGGCAATACTGCAACAGCAGAGACCTGGGCAGCAGCCAGGTACCAGCGACCCCCGATACACAAACAGCAACAAAGAGGGCAGCTGTGACCCCTCTGCCGGACACCTTGGAAGGTAGACAGTGCTGGCTATCAATTCTAACGAGTCAGCTCAGGTAAGAGAAACCAAAACCTGTCCTATAGCACCACCTACTGGAAAACAAAAAAAGGCCTCTAATTACCAACCTGTTGAATTGCAAGGCAAAAAAAGCTTTACCTAAATTAAGGAAGTTGTTCACTACTTCAAATTCACTGGCTGAGGGAAAACCCATCAAGCACCAGGAATAATCACAGTAACACAGTGTCACACACACACAAAAGAGACAAATCTCCAGAAACCAAACTTAAAGTCATGGAAGACTGTGATCAAAATGATCGAGAATTCTAAATGGCCGGGTGGCTCTGGTGGTTAGAGCCAGACAAGAATAATTTATCCAGCAAAGTTATGCTTCAGATATAAAGGAGAAATAAAGACTTTCTCCAACAAAAAAACTGATGGAGTTCACCACCATAAGACTTGGCTTCTGCCCTGGCAGGTTTGGCTCAGTGGATGGAGCATCGGCCTGTGGACTAAAGGGTCTAGGTTCGATTCCGGTCAAGGGCACCTACCCTGGTTGTAGGCTCTCAATCCCCAGTAGGGGGCGTTCAGGAGGCAGCTGACCAATGATTCTTATCATTGATGTTTCTATCTCCCTCTCCCTCTCCCTTCCTCCCTGAAATCAAACATGTATTTAAAAAAAAAAAGACTTGGCTTCTAAGACATGTTGAAAGGAGCTCTTCTGCCAGAAAGGAAAAGACAAAAGTCTGACAAGGTGATAGGGATGATCAGAATTGAGTGTTAAAAACCGAATTATTGCATAAAGGTTAAAGGGGGAAATCATTAAAAATAACTATTGCTACTTCAATTTGGTGATGAACACATACCATAAAAATAGATAATTTGCAGCAACAAATACATAATAGGGAGTAAGTAAAGGATGAAACTTATATAGGCAAGTAAAGATAAGATGCTATTGAAGAAAAAGGACTACTTTATATGAACTCTGGACAGCCACAAAACAGAAATCCAGCCCAGCTGGTGTGGCTCAGTGGTGGAGCACCCACCCATGACCAGGAGGTCACCGGTTCGATTTCCAGTCAGGGCACAGCCTGCCTTGTGGGCTCAATCCCCGGTGAGGGCATGCAGGAGGCCAATGGACGTTTCTCTCTCATTGATATTTCTATCTCTCTATCCCTCTTCCTTCCTCTCTCTAAAGAAGGAAATCAGTAAAAACAGAAATCTAGATCAGAGACACAAACATAAAAAAGAGAAAATGAAGACAATCATCATAGAAAAGCACCAAATTAAAATATCAGTCACAAACACAAGAGAAAATCAACAATGGAGCTATAGAGCAATCAGAAAACCAAAAATGGCAAGAGTACGGCTTCATATATCAATATCACCTTAAATGGAAATGAACAACTCACCAATCAAAAGGTACAGAGTAGCTGGACAGATGAAAAAACAAGACCCAACAATACAATACACTGCCTTAAGGAGACTCATCTCAGTTACCAAGACAAACACAGGTTCTAAGGGAAGGTGTGGAAACTAATGCTCCAAGCAAATGGTAGCTAAAAGAAAGCATATGTAGCCATACTTTATCATACAAAACAAGGGACATTATATATATATATATATATATATAGGCATTATATGAAGGACACAACCAAAAAGAAAACGCAACATTAACATAAATGCACCCCACTTAGAAGCAAGTAAATACATAAAATAATTACTAACAGATCTAAAGGTATATATTTACGATAATAGTAGGAGACTTTAGCACCTCACTTAGACAGTAGAGCAAGAAAGAAATATTGGCCTTAAATGACATGAGTCCAGATGTCCTTAAATAGATATATACAACATATTCCATCCAGAAACGACAGAATACACATACTTCTCAAGAGCACATGGACAGACCATATGTTGGTACACAAAGTAAGTCTCCATAAATTTAAGATTGAAATTATATCGCCCTGCCCGATTTGGCTCAGTGGATAGAGCATCGGCCTACAGACTCAAAGGTCCCAGGTTCGATTCCGGTCAAGGGCATGTACCTGGGTTGCGGGCACATCCCCGGTAGGGGGTGTGCAGGAGGCAGCTGATCGATGTTTCTCTCTCATCGATGTTTCTAACTCTCTATCCTTCTCCCTTCCTCTCTGTAAAAAATCAATAAAATATATATATATATATATATAAAAAGATTGAAATTATATCAAACATCTTTTCTGATCACAATAGTATGAAACTAGAAATTAACTACAAGAAGAAAAATGAAAAATCCAAATATGTGGAAATTAAACAACATGAACTGAACAACAAATGGGTCAATGAAGACATCAAAGGAGAAGTCAAGAAATACAAGGAGACAAATGAAAATAAAACTATGACAACCAGCATCTGTGGCAGGGCAGGGAACCTCTTCTCTGCCAACGGCCGTTTGGATATTTATAACATCATTCAAGGCCACACAGAATTATCAACCTAAAAACTAGGCTGCTGTATTTGGTCAGACATTTAATCAACTCACCCCTAATGCCTTGGTTTCTCTTACCTGAATCATGAAGAAATAGAAAATCTGAACAGACCAATCACTAGTAAGAAAATTGAAACAGTAATCAACAACCTCCCCCAAACCAAAAGTTCAGGACCAGATGGCTTCCCTGGTAAATGCTACCACCCAGTCAAAGATTTAATACCTCAATTTCCTCATTTGTAAATGAAGACAGTAATAATGCCTACGTCACAGGGTTATTATGATAAGCAAATAAATTAATATTTGTAAAGTATTTAGTACAAGCTGTGCACAGAGTACTATATAAATGTCTTTTAGCCCTGGCTGGCATTTCTCAGTGGTTAGGATGTTGGCATGCGCACCATAGGGTCTCGGGTTGGATTCCTGGTCAAGGGCACATACCTGGGTTGCAGGTCCGATTCCCACCCCGGATCGGTTGGGGTGAGTGTGGGAGGCAACCAATTGATGTATCATGTCGATGTTTCTCTCTCTCCCCCTCTTCCTTTCCTTTCACCCTCTCTAAAAAATTAATAGAAAATAAATTGTATTTTATAACTAAAATAAAAAGTGAGTAAAGAGTTGCATATGCTTTACCTGTTTAGTAGTTTTATGAGTGCCCTGAATTGTCCTCTTTGGTTTTCCACCAGTTTGAAATTTAGATTTTCCTTCAAGGCAAGAATAAACAGATAAATATACAGATCGACAAACAGACAATATAAAATGGAACCACACAAATCACTCAGACACACTAACACACAACCTCCCTCTAGTCACAGTCAACCTGAACCACAGCTGTAACTGAAACAAATTCCCAAGGTCCCAGGGACTATTCTCATGGAACAGCTTCCTCAGAACAGGAGTGAATCAACTCCTTAAAGAGGTCAGAGTTTCTGACAATTTAAAAACAAGGTCAAATGGAAAACTTCTGGAAAAAATTTGTTTCATGAGTGAAAACATGAATAAAAATAAATTCTAATAAGATCAAGTTAGTGATACTTCTCAACTTATATATACAGGTCTGAAAAATACTTATTTGAACTCAAATCGTATTTCAACAATGAAATTAGGAATACATTTTTTACAACATAAAACTCAGTATTTTCTGTTTTGATTAACTTACCTAATGTATGACATACAGTTTCATTTTGAAACGGGAGGTTTTTTACTTGTTTGTATTTTTGCAGTCAGACATCTCTCTCTCACTTGTTCTTTTTTTTCTTTTTTATGAAAGACACCACCTACTGCCCTGACCAGAGAGCTGGCCCGTGCACCGGAGGGTTGCAGGCTCATTCCTGGTCAAGGGCACATAGCTGGGCTGCAGGTTTGATCCCCAGCCCTGGCTGAGATACATAGATAATCAATGTGTCTCTCTCATATGGCTGTTTTCTCTCTCTCTGTCTTTCTCCTCCTCCTTACACTCTCTCTAAAAAAACAAATCATTGAAAAAAATATCCTTGGGTGAGGATTAACACCACCAAAAAAAGAATAATAATAACACTTTCCTGAAACCATTTGCATATTAGATAAAAAGGCAATGAAAAACTACTTATTTAATTTATACTAATTTGCCTGAGAGTCCTAATTATAAACAGTTTTTAGTCTATCTACTGTTCAGGAATAAGTATAACCTTCTAATTTATAACAAAATGAAACTTATTTTTAATACGCATCATCACTGCCCTGGCCAGTAGCTCAGTGGTTAGTGTCAGAGCACAGACCTAAGGGTCTAGGGTTCAAGTTCTGGTCAAAGGCATGTACCTGGGTTGCAGGCTGGATCCCCAGCCCAGCTGGGGTGCGTGCGGGAGGCAGTCAATCTGTGTGTCCCTCTCACGTTGATGTTTCTCTATCTCTCTCTCTCCCTTCCTCCCTCCCTCTCCACCTCTCCCCTCTCTCCCTCACTTCCACTCTCTCTAAAAATCAACAGGAAAAATATCTTTGGGTGAAGATTAACAACAACAAAAAATATACCTACCATCATCATCTTTGCTTTCTAGTGGAACACTCCAAGCTATTAGATTTCTTGCTGTACGACCCTCCTCTGCAACTATTCTCCTTACTTTGTCATGGCTGTTGGAGCGCTGGAATGAAGCCTATGTACAGAAAAGAGAATATTGATTGAATTATTAGTCAAGATATAAAATATATTTGGCAGATAAATGCATTATTTCTTATGTTTCTCAGAAAGAAAACACACTCTATTCATTTTTCATAATCCCGTTCCTATAAAAACATAACTAGTAACTTAAGTAGAATCGTTTTGAACATTTCAATCTAAGTAAGCATCAGGGTTTGAAATGCAATAAATGAGTCTGAGATACTTCATAACATTGTGGATTTCTATTTCAAGCAGTATTTTAACCTCGATTCCTTTCTTCAAGAAGACGTAAACAAAACACATTACTTCCATCCAAAGTCACAGTGTGCCACCTAGTGCTACATGGAGACTTTTACAAAGGTTTGCTCAAATATTAGATGTTTCAAAAAAAAAGCAAACACCAGTTTCACGTAAAAGTTTTTATATTCAACTCTTATAAAATATAGTCTAACAAAGCAATTGTTCATAATGTTCACCAAAGTGTCTACAGATTTTTGAAACTTGCTCCTAGACTGGGGGAAAGTTATTTTCACTCATCTCTAAATAATTTCTACTTGTAGCAACTTCACTGATAATCTGGAACTGGTATCAAGCATGCTTATTAAATGTTTATGTCTGTATCTACATAAAAGTATCTCCTTACACAGGAATTAAGAGAGAGGGATTCACAAACTGCACTGGGACTCCCCGAGGCCACACATGAGGGAATGAGAAGGAAGGAGGTACAGCACAGCGATGTGCTGGGAACCAGAGTGAAAACATCTGATTTGTTTGGTAATGGCCACCCCAAACCTCCCAAGGCGGTTTCCAGGAAGGCTGGTTCCCCTAGAGACTCCATTCCCTCCTCCTCCTGGGCTGGAGTGGTATTGTTGAAGGAGAGACTTAGACCTGCCTGGAAATCTCGAGTTAGAAAAGGAAGTGTAGGGAAGGGAACCTGTCTGTCCAGGCTTTGGGGAGTTTCACCACGTTGACCCCATCCCAGACCCAGAGAGCGCCTGGCCCAACCTGCCAGCCTCAGGGAGAGGGTGGCTTCTTCAGAGCTGGCTGGGTCCTGGGCAGAAAAGCAGGGCAAGCTGTTGGCATGGATTGATTTATATCTTTTTAAAATTAAGACAAAAAGGAAGCTGGCTTCCACTTGTGTATCTGCCCTAGGTCCCACAAATGGTAGGAGTGTAGCTCTCAGGATGAATACTACATTCACAGTTGTTCACTTTATTACTGTGCTTCACAACAAATGTGTTCCCTAGAGTAACTTGTATGTAACAAACGTGACATCAGAAAAGATAATAAATAAAAAATAGGTTGGCCCATCTGGTGTGGGGTGTTGCTCCATGGTTTGCACCTTGACCCAGGAACCAGGAGGCCACTGTTCGATTCCCGGTCAGGGCACATGCCTAGGTTGAGGGCTTGACCCCAGAATGGGACATGCAGGAGGCAGTCGATCCATGATTCTCTCTCATCATTGATGTTTCTATCCTTTCTCCCTTCCTCTCGCTGAAATCAATAAAACATTTTTTTAAAAAATGGGTGGAAGAAAGAAAGGAAAGAGGGAGCCCCCCAAAAAATTAAGGTTAGTGTTTGAGGTAGTTTGATCACTTACCATCATTCTTTAATTCCCTTCTATGCCAAGAAGCGCTCATTTATCAAATAAACCCATGGGGTATGACTCCTAGAATTAAAAAACAATTAATTATACACACACACACTAGTAGTCATAACATTGTCAAGAAAACATATCTATATATATAAAAGGCTAATATGCAAAGTGTCCCCTCGGGAGTTTGACCGGGAGCCCGGGAGTTCGATTGCTGGCTATGATGTGTGCTGACCACCCGGGGCCGGCCCTGATCTCCGGCCAGGCCTAGGGACCCTACCTGTGCATGAATTTCGTGCACCAGGCCTCTAGTTTATTCATAAAAAGATAAAAATCTCATCCCAAGTTTCTAATTAATTTAACAACAAAAAAATTGCTCCTTTATACTGCCTGTTTCAATATAATATAGCATGTTTTAAATACTCCATGTTCTCCAAAAAATAAAATAAAATGGGACAGTGTTAATTACAGGAGCAGCCCATGATAGCCCAACCCAGAGGCTTCCGTGTTTTTTACTCCCATCTATAAACACACACACACACACACACACACACACACACACATACACTCTGTATCCTGACTGTTTACACATGTTTAACTAAAGCAAGTTTCATGAAGTAATACGTATCCCTGTTATGTGAGAGGCACTCTGAGATTTCCTTCTCTGCTCTATTTTTTAAATTATTGCTTTCACTTTGGTTTATGACCCACTAATAAATCCCAAGCCCGGGTAAGGAGCACTGTGCAACCTTCTTGGAGGCCTCTCCCTCCAGGGAGCATGCTGTGCCTTTTCCTTCCCTTCCCACCTTCCCCTCCCTCCCATACCCTCAAAAAAAATAAAGTAAAATAAAATAAAATCCTCTTGGAAACTTTCAAAAAGTGAGATAAGTGAGATTTTATCATAATATGTTAATCACCAATTATATGAGACTCTCCATAGAAAAGACCCTGCTTGACAGGAAACCTAGTTAATGTGGCCAGACCTTTACTCAAAGAAATCCAGAGCAGAGGAACCAGACAGAGCACAAAGGGACAGGGAAACTGCTGGAAAGAATGGCCTAACCCGGTAAGAAGAGCTCATGAACAAAGAAAAGAAGCAGCAACTAGAACCAAAACGTTTGGAACGAGAGCCGAGATCTTTTATCCTTTGTCACGTGAATTTGCTCCTTTTAAATGCGGCACCTCCAATGAAAACATATGTGCAAACAAAAGTTTATATACAAGCATTCACAGCAGTATTATTTATAATAGCCCCAACCTGGAAATCACCCAAGTGTCCACAAATGATGGATTTTTAAAAAGGAGTATATCCATCAATGGAATATTATTCAGCCATAAAAAGGAAGAAAGTGTGTATACATGCTGCAACATGGGTGAACCCTGAAAACATCACGCTTAGTGAAAGAAGCCAGTCACAAAGACCACATATTACATGTATATGGAATGTCCAGACGGGCAGTCCATAGTCAGAACACAGATCACTGGTTGTCTAGGGTTTCTTCTGAATATACTAAAAAAAAACATGTGTTAAAGGGGTGAATCGTACGACATCCAGCTCAGTACAGCTGTTGGATTTTTAAAGGGCAGCCCCTCTGCTCAACACTCCCCAGGCCTCTCCGTCTCACTCAGAGTAAAAGCCTAACTCCTCACAGTAACTGCCACGCCCTCCACTTCCTAGCTCCCCCTAAACTTCCCAGCTCCCCCTAAACTTCCTAGCTCCCCCTAAACTTCCTAGCTCCCCACACCTCTCGCACCTCCTCCTCTCCTCCCTGATGCTCATTGCACTCCAGCCACACTGGCCTTTTCGTGTTCCCCACATAGCAGACACACTCCGGGCCCAGGGCAACCCCATCTGGAACAGCCCATCTTTGGCCTTCCCAAGCACTATCTTAAAAATTGCAACCCATTTCTCCTGATTCCCACCACCTGCAGGCCTTATTCCGCTTCTCCTCTAGAGCACTTATCACCATATATTATTTACTTGGTTGATGTAGTGTCCCATCTTTCCCAACAAGAATGCAAGCTCTGTGATGTCTCTTGGGTTTCATTATTGCTATAGCCTCGGAACGTGGAACAGATCATGGCACTGAGTAGGCATGAATATGTACTAACGAATGAAACTCATGCTAAAAAATCTGTTCCTTTCCTCTCACATTCGACATATTCAAAGCCTGCCAATTCTTCAAGGCCAGTTCAAAAGGGATCTTCATAAACCCTCCTCTGACACCCCAGCTGAGAGAGATCTTCATCTGAATTCCCAGACTTTATCCAAATTCTTTCCATCTAAAAAGCGGGGGAAGGCATGATATAGTGGAAAGGCTTTTTGGAGGCACCGAGTCCACCAAAGCACTGTGACTTTGAGAAGTCATTTAACCTCTCTGAGTTTCAGTATTCTCATCTCTAAAAATGAAGGCCAGGCATTTACCCAACAAACAAAAACATAGTTTCCACAACAAGATCTATATACAAATGTTCAAATCAGCTTCGTTCATAATATACCACAACTGAATCAACCCAAATATCCATCAAGAGATAATCAAATTGTGATATATCCATAAATAGAATAGAATGAACTGATACAACGAAAAAGATAAACTTCAGCATTATGTGTGGAAAAAGAAAAAGAAACTGGACACAAAAGCGTACATACTGAATGATTCCATTTATATGAAGTTTAGAACATTCAAAACTAATCTTAGGTGAGAAATGTTGAGGGACGGCTACCTTGGTCGAAGGGGAAGCTTGGACTAAGAAGGTACAAGGGGACTTTCTGGGAGATGGAACTGTGGTAGTGGTTCAATTGTATATAAAATTGATGGTATTTATGGAACTGTCCACCTAAAAAGTGAGTGCACTTTGTATGTAAATTATACCTGAATAAAATGATTCAAAAAAAAAGGACAGATAGCTGAGGGGTGGAATATGAAGGCTACCCCTGACTTATAAAGTTGCTAGAAGGATTAGATAAGGAACATACATACTGAAATAAGTACGACACAGCGAGAGAGTGCATACTGGTGTGGGACTGAATCCCAATGTAGCCAGTTTTTATAGTTACTGGTTATATAGCCTCGGACAAGTCCCTTAATCTCTCGGAAATGACGTTTTCACTTCTGTTCAGACAATACGTCTGCTTTGCTTAAATGGTCGCATACTAGAGATCACCAAGTTAATGCAGCATCTGACATACAACAGGTGCCCAGATACTTTTTTATATAACATATAAAACCTGCACATATAGATGCTCAGTAAGTGTTATCCTCTCTTCCCCTTCTTCCTGCATGAGAGCTTTCTTAAGAGGAGAGGATCGATGTCTGAATGATCTTCTGCTTAAAGTGCCTTACAAATGGCAGGCCCTCAACACAGATTCTGAAGGAAAGGAAGGAAGTTCAGTGGCTTGATGATTACGAGGGATTAATAAATAGGCAAAGCAGAGGATTTTCAGGGCAGCGGACGTCCTCTATGCGGCACGACAATGGTGAAGCCCCAGGACAAACATTTTTAAAGTCTATGTTTAGAACACTCTGTCTTTTGGGCCACAGTCACCAAAGTGATGTATAAATGCATGTGCACAGGAACACTGATGAGGCTTCCGTGCATAACCCAGCGGGTGCCCTGACCTGCACCAGGACGGGCTTAACCATGGACAGTAAAACCTCGCAGCTCAAGGGAGTGGGAAGGAAGATGGACCAAGCCAGTGGTTCTCAACCTTCCGGCCCTTTAAATACAGTTCCTCATGTTGTGACCCAACCATAACATTATTTTCGTTGCTACTTCATCACTGTCATGTCGCTACTGTTATGAATCGTCATGTAAATATCTGATATGCAGGATGGTCTTAGGCGACCCCTGCGAAAGGGTCGTTCGACCGCCAAAGGGGTCGCGACCCACAGGTTGAGAACCGCTGGTTAGCCTTTGCTGAGGGCAGTTCCACACGCTCTGCAGACTCCTCGGTTACTCGCTATCAACAAACGTATGAGATGGGAAGCATGTTCCCCATTTCACAGATGAAGAAGCCGAGCCCCGGAGAAATGAACGATCTGCTGGGATTCAAAGCACCATCCGTCCGTCCGTCCGTCCGTCCGCCGTCACAGCTCATCCGATCCCGCTTCCTCCCACACGGACAACCCGTCAAACCCTTAACAACGGGCTCTTTGATGGAGGAAAACACTCGTTCCTCACGGGGTGTTTGCTATTCAGACCGGCTCACTCTGTGGCATCAGTGAACAAGCACCCAGCACGTTTGTAAGGAAAGTCATAATTATCAGGGAAAGAACAGGAGCAGAGCCGAACACCAACCAGAATTCAAGCCGGGGCTGCCCGGCCCGCCCGCCGACCTGAGGCCGAAAGCTTCCCCCGGACCCACCACGTGCCGGCAGGTGCCCGGGACGGAGGCGCCGCTTCCGGCCTCAGTTTCCCTTTCTGCACCGAGCACAGCCCCCCATCCCTCCGCCGATGAGCATGAAACGGCGCTGAAACCAACACTGTGAACGGCACCGAGCAACACACCCAGCATTACAGCCCGTCGGCCGCCCTCCGAGCGGCTCTGTCCGCGGACAATAACCGGCACCCACGGGGGGGAGGCGGCCGCGGAGGCCGTGGCAGCAGGTGCGGCCCGACCCGGCGTCGCCCGCTGTCTTCACCCGCGCGCGGACAGGGGCGCTGACACGGGCGCAGCC